ATTAAATCGCTTGTTTGGCTCGTCATTCGTGAATTTAAAATAATTTCTCATGTAGTCGGCGCGCAGTGCCATTTGATTTTGTGATAATCGATAATTAAAGAAGTCAAATGATACTTTTTTTATTTGAAAACTTTGGCTCATCAGTCTTTTAACGAGCATATGCTTCGTTTGATGTCGTTTGATTGGAATTCATCTTATGTGTAACTACTCTTATGGCGAACTTCATGCGGTTCAGATTTGGAGGGGTGCGATTTACGATGGACAATAAAGAGAGATAATGTCGGTCGAATAAAATGCATTAATGACAAAATTCATTTTGACCGGCCAAAGTAAGAGAGAGCAAAAAAAAATGGAAACTCGTAAATATTGTATATCTGTGATACACTGATTTTTACCCCATTTTGTGGAATCAAATCTTTATATAAGCCATAAAATATTTTCATTTCGCTTGATTCAGTTGGTGCATTATCTTTCAAGCTTATGATGTGATTAAAAATTTAACGAGATTTTTCTGCCAACTGAATGAATACATAGTTTACGCTTAGCATTGGCACATCAACAAGAAACGAAAAATTGTGCACAACACGAATATTAAAGGCAACGAAAGAAAAACGGAATTTCAAGAATGAAACTGTTGACGTCGATATATAATTCTTCCATTTTAATGGCAGACATCAAGTTGGTGAACACATTTCCACATTTCCATATTCCCACATTTTGCTATCAAAATCAACTGGATGAATATGATTTCATTGGTCCAACGACGAAATCTCACACAAAATGATGCAACATATTAAGATTTCAATAAAATTACATTCAGATTCGGTTCCGGTGCATTTGCAAAGCAAACACAAATGCAACCGGCTGACATGGATCATTTTAATTTAATGGTTCAACGAGTTTCACTGATTTAAATGGAATAAATCAGATTGTATACAAATGAATCTTTGCAAAGCACAGTTGCATCATCGGTGTGACTTTTGTGATTTTGAAATCAATGCATTAATAAAATATGGTCTTTTTTGTATCTGTCTTTTTCATAATGGCGCATTCATTTATAAAAAAATGTTTCAAACACATTCATTTGGAAAACCATGGATGTTTTTTTTATATTATAATCAGTCGTATATTCTTCTGTGACTAAAAGTAGTCCGCATAATTATGAAGCAAATAAATTCAATGCAGAGACTGCACAGTGCACACTCAATTCACATAAAACAATCCACTGATCTCAAACAAATTTTCCACTTTTGATCTGCTTTTGGAATTTTCATAAATTTGAAAGCAAATGCAAGTTTAATGTACGTCATTTCTTTGAGTTTTGAAAATAATAACATATTCATTTATATTCCATATGAACTAAAAGAAAACAACAACATAAAATTGAATGTGAAATGAAGTACTTAGGATTCTCGACCCGGAGTCGGAAATAAAATTAAATCTGTTGAAAATAAGTTGTAATAAAAATTGTTCATAAGAGTTTCTAGCATAGAGTAAAATAAGCTACATTCGTCCATTTCTTCGTTTCGAAATAATTTTGTTGATGGCAATTTCAATTTTTAACGATAATTCCGACATTTATGATTTGACCTTATTCTCGACTCTATTATCAAAACGTAACATTTCCTTTAACCTTCATATGAGGCTGTGAGAATGAAAATGGCAATACAGGGATAAACATTCTGAAACGAAACATAAAACAGCAAACACGCAAAAGTGAACCATGAGTATCCGTACGTGTGCGTAAATTCATGATTTGCTTCAACACAGCGCTCATTCAAGATTCACTTTTGAGAATTTTCTTTCTTAGCGGCACTTCAGTAAATATTTTTGTGACGTTGCGCATTTGTTTGTTTTCTTCTCATGGGTCGGTTTTAAAAAAATGTTATTCATTTCCAAACTCACCGTAGTTTTAATTCAATCCAGACAAAATATATTATTTCAAATCATAGACCTTGATTTGCGTTAAACAAGAGTATGTATTTTGTTAGTTTGGAATACAGGAGTAATAAAATATCTGTGGACTTTAGAAATCGTGTTTCACTTTAATTGAAGCAAAAATGTTCGATACACTTTCAAGTCCATTGGAATGATGATTCATTGTAATGGTGGTTTTGGTTGTGATTTACGTAATGAGAAATGTAACGAGAAATTACGTTCATTCATATTCGCTATAATGCAACGTTGCCGAAACCTGTACGTTCTTGTTTTCTTACTGCGCACTTCTTTTCTACGGTGAAGCAGATGTGTATAACATTACGGGTAAAACACCGGCGCTCCGAGGTTTTCATACAAACTTCCCATGTAGACGATCGGAAACAGGCAAAAATCGAAAAAAAAAGTTAAATTGTTTTTTTCGATTCTCATACAGTATTTCATGTACCCAATCCAATGGTATTATCGGCACATCGAAATTCGCGCTCCTTATTTATTTATTTATTTATTTATTTATTTATTCAGGCAAATGTTATACATGAACGCCCCTAAAACTAAATAGTTACATCTCAATAAATAATTAACTTTTTTTCTTATGTTTTGTAGTGACTCTGTTTGTTTTTTAAATATATTTCTGTTTTTTTTTGTTTCTTAATTTGTTACATTGCAAGTTTTTTGACTGCTCTTCCAGTGTAATTTTTTTCAACTGGTTTTTAAATGTCTGTATTTTGTGAATTCTTTTCATTGGCGATGGCAAAGAATTGTATGAATTAGTTCCCCTGTTAATGATAGAATATTTTCCCCAATTATTTTTGGGTTTAATTTTGCGCAGTCTTTTTGATTGTCTTGTTTCATACTCGTGATGCTTGTTGTTAAAATCTAATTTGATATCTGCTTTTAACATTTTATTAATAATTTTGTGGAAATTTATTTTTAATTCAAGATCAATCATATGTTTAAATTTAATAATATTATGTTCTTCATATAAGTCACCAGTACTTATGTTCCCTCTTTTATATTTATTGTAGAATAAATTTCTAATACATTTGTTTTGTAACTTTTCTATCTTGTCAATATTTTCTTTTTTCGTTCCACTCCATACTGTTAATAAATAAATTACATTTGAGTTAAAGTATGAATAATACATCATTTTTTTTAATATTATCTCCACAAAGGAATGAAATTCTTCTGAATACACCAACATAAGGTCTTACTTTTTTTCATGACATTTTCAACATGTGCATTCCAATTTAAATTTGAATCAATTATTAACCCCAAATATTTAATTTCACTGACCCTTTCAATTTTGCAATCATTTAAAAAGACATCAGAGATTTCATAGTCATTAATTGAATTATAATACATTATTTTTGTTTTGTTCCCATGCAATACCAATAGGTTGTTTTTAAACCAAGAAGTGATTTTATGTATGTCAGAATCAATCATTTTATATAGACTATCATGATTTTCGGCTATATATGTGATTGAGGAATCATCCGCGTAGAGTTGTAATTGACCCCCCAATTCTACATTCAGAAAGTCGTTCATAAAAATTATGAAAAGTAATGGGCCAAGTTTGGAACCCTGGGCAATGCCGTATTTTGTGACCCTCTTACTACTGCTGATATTATTTATTTGAACAAATTGTTCCCTATTATTTATATAGCTATCAAAAATATTTAAGGATTTACCCCTGATTCCCAGCCGTTCAAGTTTTTCCAGCAAGATTCTTCTGTCTACACAATCAAACGCTTTTGCAACGTCAAGAAAAATTGTACATACTATTTTTTTTTCGTTAAGGGCCCTTTGGATTTTATCAACAAAAGAAACACATGCAGATGTTGTGTTCGAATTTTTCGTAAAACCAAATTGTTTGTTATCAAAAAAATGTTGAATCTCCAAAAAGCCGTATAAACGGTTATATAAAGCTGCTTCAACTACTTTTGAAGCAATGTCAAGCAACGAGATTGGTCTATAATTTTTTATTTCAAATTTAGAGCCCGATTTTTTGTAAATAGGAATAATTTTGGCTATTTTCAATAGCCCTCTTTTTATCACTTAATTTTCACTCCGAAGCCAAATCACAACCAAAACCACCATTACAATGAATCATCATTCCAATGGACTTGAAAGTGTATCGAACATTTTTGCTTCAATTAAAGTGAAACACGATTTCTAAAGTCCACAGATATTTTATTACTCCTGTATTCCAAACTAACAAAATACATACTCTTGTTTAACGCAAATCAAGTTCTATGATTTGAAATAATATATTTTGTCTGGATTGAATTAAAACTATGGTGAGTTTGGAAATGAATAACATTTTTTTAAAACCGACCCATGAGAAGAAAACAAACAAATGCGCAACGTCACAAAAATATTTACTGAAGTGCCGCTAAGAAAGAAAATTCTCAAAAGTGAATCTTGAATGAGCGCTGTGTTGAAGCAAATCATGAATTTACGCACACGTACGGATACTCATGGTTCACTGCTGCTGCTCAAACATTCATGATTCACTTTTGCGTGTTTGCTGTTTTATGTTTCGTTTCAGAATGTTTATTCCTGTATTGCCATTTTCATTCTCACAGCCTCATATTTCGTACACATTTATGAATGTCAGCTTAACAGATATCATAAAATGAAGATGTTCATATTCTCTTTGAATGCTTTAACTTGATTGCACATGACTAGAATGACGGAGCTCGGATAAAGCTGCAAAAATGTCTGTTGCTTTTGATTAACACTTACTCACGTGATGATAATAAGTAGCCATGTTCATATGAAAATTACGATTCATTTTGTTGAAAAAGATGCGTCTTATAATACAAGGCTCTCATATGCACAAAGCTATGTACGATAGATTTGTTTACGGAATTCCATAGATTATGAGGTTTAGAAACAACCAGCAGACAAAATAACATAAATTTATTTCGACGATATATTCATACGGTATCGGAAGCCACGTATTGAACAGCATGAATTGCAATAACTGAAGAAAGGATGTAGTAATTTGTGTATAATGAGAATCTGTACTGAGAATATCAATAAATGTACGGATTAGTTGATTGTATTAGATAATCTCTTTATTGTCATGAATTATGCTAATAAATTAGTATGCGTGATGCATACATAACAACTGTGTGTGTGCATATGCTGTGTCGTACACTGGAATAGGCATTTAAGATTATTGGACGGTTATTCAATTGTGACATTTAGTGCTAATCTATCATTAAATAAGACGTTAAATGTTTAGTGCGAGTCATTGTCTCTTTCTCTGTATGTGTTCTTCTAATGCTGTCCACTGCAGTCATAGTAGAATCGCACTAGGTTATCATATCCACAGAAACTGACATAGTTGACGGGTAAAACAATTGGATCGAAAAAACTGGCAATTGGTTCGATTTTGTCACTTTCAGCATAGATGCGAACCGTGCCACCTGTCAAGACAAAAAGAAGCAAACACTTACGACCTCACTCAAGACAAATAAGAGAGAACACACACAAAAATACATACTGTTTGCAACTTCAATAATAAATTTGACTGGCGTTTGAGCCGAAAGAATAGGTGGGACGAAAACCTGTTGCAATGGATTCACATCGCTTTTTTTACGTCGAATCAACACTCCTATAAACGAATTAAAGAATTTATCAGAAAAAATCGTGTTTAATTGAAATAAAATAAATGTTTACTGTACGCTTTAACGTACGGAAAACTATCTATACACACAGAAAAGAATCCCCGGAAATTTTAGGTGTTCGCCGTAAAATTTGACATTTATATATAAATTTCTATGTACATTTTACCGGCAACACTTGAATTTTCCGGGCGATGACATAATTTCAAATATTCCAACAGAAATTAGCGCCATCTGTCATTTCAAGCGGTAAAATATATATAGTATTTGATAAAATGTTCGAAAATATGTCATCGCCCGGAAAATTGAAGTGTTGCCGGTAAAATGTATATAGAAATTTATATATAAATTTCAAATTTTACGGCGAACACCCAAAATTTCCGGGGATTCTTTTCTGTGTGTACCAACAAACTATTCAATTTTTTTTTCGGCAAACCAGAATCTCATTACTTTTGCTTTCTTTTTACTGTTTGACTGAATGGTTTTTATTAGATTTTTATTCGAAGCGATCTCAACACATTACACACTCACTTGAATTCACCCAGCCGCCAATGACTGCCGCACATAATGAGAACCGGAAAATGGAAAAGAATTTTTTTATCAAGATTTATTTATTATTTCTTCAAATTTTCATTTTTTTTGTTTCTCAACCACTGTGTGACACTTCGTAATGATGACATGGCACCGAATTTTTACGCTGCCTAATCTAGATGAAATTTTTTTGGTTGGGATTTCTAGCTTAAAAACAAGGAAATCGTCAATATATTTCGTGTTCATAATTTAATCTATCGACTACGAGGCTGGCAAGCAAAAAGTGTATTTTTTCCAATCCAAATAATGAGAACCGGCCAGATAAATCAAATTTAGTTCTTTTTATGTTTGTCGGGGCGAAAAAAATTTAACATTTAATTATTACTTACTGAACTCGTAGACAGGTTCTGCAGCTAAATTTGGAGTCGCTGTTCGAGATAGTAATACATGAGCATTTCGCGTGCCTTGTGCATAAAATGCCAATCGTACTATGTAACCGTTTGGCTTACTGTCTCGAATATCGCTCAATTTGATGAAATCCTTGTATTCATATTTGAAATTTGAATATTGTTTGCATCGACTCGTCAACCCTTGAAAAAAAAATGAGTTGGTTTTAACATTTTTTATTCAATTTTTTTTTTCTATCCAGTTCCAGTTTCAAAGTGAAGATGGTATTTGAAATTTACGAAAGAAAATTTCATTGCCTAAACTTACAATTTCGTTTATCGACTGGTGTTTGGAATGTTGGATCTTCTAGGAGAAGTGGATGACCGACAGCAGCATATTTGGTGGCCAATTGAGTGTCAATATAAGTCGGTGCCATAGAACAATCGTAATAAAAATCCATTGGAGTGCTGTTAAACGATGCAAAACTGATGTATTGTAGTGGATTAACACTCAGGTCATAGCTATGGTCATCTACACTAGCTAAAAGTTTGTATTGTGTATGATCGTGTTTGGAGAACAATTCAATTTTTCCCGCTAGAATAATGAAAATGCATTTCTCATTTCAATATCACGTACCAATAAAAATGTGCCATGGCTCGGGCCAAAGAAAGAAAAAACAACAACTTACATTTAGAGATTTGCACAATAAGATTGAGCACTTCATTGGGTAGAAAGATATCAGCGCGTCGAAAGTCGGCTAACGTGCTTGTGGATTGACGTCCAATTTTATGGATCGAAACACGTCGATTGATATCGTCACCAATAACTATGGAATATATACGCATACGTATAGTATTATGTGACACAAGTGTGAGATAATAGATATTGAAAAAAAAACAAGGCGCAAATGCATCGTCCTGTACAAACCGAATTCATATCCATTGCGAATTGAATTGAATGAATTGTCGGATGCGAGTAAAATGTGTGCATCATGGGAGGCGGCCACATACAAAGGAATTTCAATTGAATATTGATCCGTGTCAGTAATCGAATTGTCCGGTATGCGATGAAATTGTGTGTGTTCATTGCTTGTCGTATTTACATGCTGACATTGCGATTGGAGCTGTGATTTTGTGTACACTTCATCACCGCGGCAATCATAAAAGTAACGCGCCAACGACTGTCCCAGCGATGAAAATCCAAAGTATTTGATTTGCAACGGATTCGAATCTTTAAATTCGATAATTGGTTTCAGTGTGTGCTCAACATATGCCCGAATATCACCAGCTGTCAGTTTTTATTCCAATTTGGTTGTTGTTTGAAAGAAAAAAAAATGGTGAAAATGAAAATGAAAATTCATTTAAATCATTACCATCACTACATAACAGCAATTAAAATTTAATGAATGGATGCCCCCTCTCTCTCCCATTCAACAAACATTCCACTAACCGGATGTAATTTCAATTAATAATTTCAATGGACTATTTTTGGTGAGTATCTCATCGGTGTATTGAAATACCAGCTCTTGGTCCTGCCGCTTCCGTCGCAGAGTGGCCCGTTTATTCTCCCAGCCCGCAAACACTGCACCAGTCACCGGGGTATCGCATTGCATAGAAACCAAATGGATTATTTATTATTGGTATTATTTGGGGATTTAATTCAAATGAAAATGTCTATTAAACGAAAACCGGAACAATATTTTTAAATATTAGTACATATATTTCGGGTTAATTTTGGAAAATCAAAAGGATAATAAAAACTAACAATGTTATTGTTATTGGATTCGTTAAATTATGATAAATCTAATGATTTCAAACTGAATCAATGACAGCAAAATAAATTGTTCATTTTAATTAAATGTCCCACATCACGATGGTGAGTGGTTTTTCCCGTGTGTTTGCGTTAGCCGCATTAACATACCGGCGAAGAATCGCGCGCGAACATCGTGGGAATTCCCAGTGTGAATTGTTCTCTTAATGGGTTTTTTTTTAAATATGGAAATAACCAGACTTTATTTCATACACAGCAGTGAATGACCCGAAAGTTAATAACGACGAAAAAAGAAAGAACACATTTGTTTTTTTTTTTGTGTTTCTCTTACCAAATTCATAAACATCGTCGACAAACCAATCAGGATTTTCGGTTTCGCTAAACACGATATGCGCATCTCGTTCGGCCAATGCATAAAATGGGAATCGTACCAAATATCCCTCCGGTTGTGATCCAGGCACATCGCTTAATTGCATCATTTCCCGGTAGTTATCGTCCCATTCGTCGTATTGTTTGCACTGTTTCCTCAATCCTTGTGTACATGTGTAGGAACATCGAAATCAAAATGTGACAAACAAGGGGAAAAAACGCGGTATGTAAATGACTTTATAACTAATTCATAAAGTTGATGGAAACAATTGATTGTTTTTTTTTCGTTCGTCTGTTGCTGTTCAGCGTGTACGTTTTGCTAATGGATGAACTAGAGATAGGCGAACCGAGCCGTTGAATGTAAACAAAACAAAATCAATTTTGACTTACTGCAATGAATTTTGCTTCGTTCGCGAAATGTTCGCTTTTCCGTGTACCCGAAGCAATGTTGATATAATAAATTTGTCAATATGAACACAATGATAATTGATTTCATTTTTCAATTTTATTCCGAAAATTAAAAGCAAATTCACAGTACACAGTGAATTTAAAAAAAAGAAGAAACAATAAACCAATCAAAACAAAATAAAATGATTAAAAAAAAAACGGGGAGCGCACAAATGAAAAAAGAGATGATGATGATGATGATGTCGAAAAACAAATAAGAATGTTATGCGTACGTTGAAGATCTTAAGTAGAAACTCAACTGAATTCTCGCAATGTTACGAGAAGCCGAAGCCAGGAAAAACGCAATTTGTCTTTTGTCATGAGCGCAAATAAAAACCGCATACATACTTAGAATCTTGGCAAGTGCTACAATATCGCTAAATATCAGCAAACAGCAGCAGAACAGCACGGCACAAGACACAGAGGGCGTGAGAGAGAGAGAGAGAGAGAGAATGATTTTAATCATGATACCGACATCAAAACAATCCAGCTGTATCGAAACCAGTTGCTGTGGTTTAGTATCTTTGGCTATCATGTATTTCATTATCAACAGCACACATCGACGACGTCCCATCGTTGGCGATGAAATAGTTCCACAACAAGAACTAAAACGACAGACGACACCCAGTACATTCGCTTTGTGTGCGACATGCACACACATGCATACGGTATGTACACATACACATCATACACGCTCTTCGCGACGTGCAAAGAGATGTTTAATTGATTCCAAGACACGACATTTAACACTTTGCCAATTATATACTACGTCATATGCAGCCCGTGCTGCGTTTCAATCAAACGCTTCGACAGAATGATAAAAGAAGAAAAAACAGCAAACAGTAACATATACTTGAGTTTTGTTCGATGCAACCGATACATGTGACATCTGACAGCATGGCTCGGTATCTCAATGAAAGATTCCAACGACGAACCAGACAAACTCGTTTCAATGCTTGCAATATTCATCCTTTGTCTGTGTCAACTCACAATAGAAAGTGAACCAAAAGAAATAATCGCTTTTCGCAAAAGACAACACAATGAATTTATTAAAAGTTTGCTCTTTTTTTTCTCTCAAGTTAACAAAGTTTCATTTTTACATCTAAATCAAATCGAAGAGGAGAAAAGAAAACATTAAGCACTGTCTAGTACAGATTAAGATATTTGCGCAGTTTTTTGATCTTATTTGGTTGCTCTGTATGCATTTTAGCCAAAAATTGGCTGTTTGAAATTGAAAACTAATTGATTTCATCAAATATCACCGAATATAACTAAATATGTATCATTATTGCACTCCAGTATTATTTTTAAAACAATCTAAATTGGAATATTCATGTTCAAATTTTTCTTTTCAAACACAAAAGTGTTGATCGAGTGGATACCGTTTGAACAGGCTATTCTCAAAAACAAACTCGAATTTGATTTTGATTGAAGCTAAAACCTCGAGGAAAAGACAAATCTATCAAAGAAAAAAATTCAACATGAACACAGTAAATCTCTTCAAGAGGTCGTAAACCTACATGACTTGAATTAAAATTACAATACTTGTTTATGTGTTTGTTCTTGTTCTCTTTCTCTTGCTGTATAATAACATTTAATTTATTATATTAAAGTGAAAAAACCGGCTAATTTGCAAAAATTTCGTCTATTCCGTTTCATTTTGTTCGTTTTTTTTTCTGTTTGTTTTTATTTCTATTTACAGGTTGAATGGGGTCCATTCCAATTTCAAACTGGTTTTTACTATATTTCTTTTTTTTATTAAACGACACAATCAGTTATTTTTGTTCATCTTATTTTTTGTCCGGGTTGCACATTTATATTTTTATCTTTTACTTATCAATTTTAAGTATTTATTGACCGCATTCACAAATAACAAAAAAAATCACGCGGTAATTTTCATTCTATGCTAAAATATTGATAATTGAGTTCTCGTTTTCGGAAACAATTGACTTTTGATTTGTAATGCCAACAGCTTCATCACATTCGATTTCACGGTCATACTTTTCAATCTGGATGGTACACTGTTTGATATTGTAGCCTTTTTGTGCGATTGTTGTTGCGATATACAGCACATCCGATGACTTAACGAATGGATCTAATGTATGAAAATGAAGAGAATAATTTGGCCGTTACTTGATGATGACAATTTTGTGCGATTTACGTAAAAACATTGAGAAAAAAAAATTAAAATGAAAATTCATACCAATGATTATGTGCACAGACAAAACATGCCAGCCAACTGTTAGACACCAAACATTCAAACTATGAACGGACCTGAAAACGATGATTGCAAATAGTTTAGAATGGTATCATTATCATTGAAAAGTGTGCAATAATTGGTGAAAAAAAGACAAACGATGCCCATACGAACCTCACGCCATCAATGCTTTTTAGGTCGTCCTTTAGCCGTTCGGTGCTGACGCTGTTCGGTACTGCTTCCAAAATGATGGCAATCGATTCTTTCATAATGGTACACGTGGTCATCATGACGATAATTGAAAATACGAAGGTACATAGTGGGTCTGCTATTTTAGCATTTGGCTAAAGAGAAAAGAAATCACACAGTGTCATTATGATAAAACTGTTCGGCAAAGATGTGCGTTGAAACGGGTAGGGAATGAAAACTTACATAATTCTTTATGATTACTGCTGATATAAAAACACCAATACTTTGAATGAAATCACCAATGACATGTATCACAGCCGCCTGAATGTTGATATTTTTCGATGAAAAATCGTGTGAGTGACGCGATTGATTGCAATGCAAATGATTAACAAAACCATTGCGATGGTTTGAACGATGGTCGTGTAAATCTTCGCTGTCACTGCTTGTGATTGGCGTATGCTCAGAACTATCACGATGTACGTAGTGATGAATCGGACAAATGGCCGAACCGTTTGAAACACAACCACCTACACCGATCGTCTCATTGGAACAATTCACTGGTAATTTCTCATCGGTTAGGTCGACATCAATGCAATCATTGCTTTGCACATCGATTATGTCTTTGATTTTAGTTCCGGCTGTGCTCGATACGGAACTCATTGTATGACTACTGCGTCGTATCATATCGCTTCCGCTGCAATGGCCATTGGTAAACGCATACGATCGACTCAGTGAATTCGATCGACTATGGTTCGGTGAACGAGACGAACATATTCTATCACGGCGATCGACTCGCTTTGAACTTGAAATTGATACAGGAATGGAACTCCATAAATTGGCACCACGTTTTTCGGTCGCTTCGTCTATCAACGGCCGATATTCGAATTTCGTTTTATTATTATTGTGATACGTTTGATTGTGCTTTGGCGAATGCGAATGGCAATTGTGATGATGATGATGGCGTACTTGTTTAAAACAACACAACCCTTCTCCATGCAATATCAAGGCCATTCTGTGTTTATTTTTTTTTTGGGTGAAAATTAGAAAAATAAAATATTTTTCATGAGCATTTAAGAAAAAATGGTAGAAAAAAGGTGAATATTCTATAGAATATATAGCTATAGCTTACATGATATTTATTACGATTCCAACAGCGGAAACAATCATCATTGTGTCCGCATCGATATCGAAATCTTGGTACATTAATCGATTCACAGCAAAATAAAATAGGAATGTTGTCAACAGCCATATACCGAATATCGATAGAATTGCGCCCAAAACCTCTGCAAAAAAAGAGACACACACACATTGCAATAACAAACCATAAAACTGTACACATGAATAACGTGTAATGTGTTGAAACTCACCAACTCGCTTATAGCCGAATGTCATGTAATTAGTTGGTGTTTTTTTTGCCCAAACAATGGCCAATAATGCGACAATGAAGCTTATGCAATCGGATAGTAGGTGGGCAGCGTCGGACATAATGGCCAAACTTCCTGCCAAGTAGCCGCCCAGAATTTCAGCAAACTAAAACGATTGAAGCGAAAACCTTTCGTCATCATAACACATTCGAAGAGAATAAAGCTTATAAAATTATTTATATATATTTTTATATATGTGAAAAGCCTTTCAATCAAAAATTGACAAGACGAGCAGACATTTTTGGGCAGACATTTGTGGGTGTGCGCGAGCGAGGGTTTTGTTTGCACAACCCTTTTGTGTTATCAACAAACAAAAAGTTGGCAATGAATGGGTTACCATGGAAAAGTTGCAAGCACCAAAAAAAATAAAAGGAAAAAACTTGCTGACCACCACTTACCATAAAGAAGAAGCATAACGTTGTCGCAATAATTAATTGCCGTTTCTCCTTTTTGTTTTGCGCGTCGTTCCGATGCGAAGTACCCTTTGATGGGTTGGTTGCCAAAAGACAAGGTGAATCATCCTTCTAAGTTATTTCAAAGAGCGATATCGTTGAACAATAGCAAAACGATGACAGCAACAGCAACCGAAAATCGAGAAACAAGAAAACAAAGGTGAATTCGGGCAAATTTGATTTTTGATTTGATGAAATTCAATTTGTTAAAGTGTCCCACTCGAGTGTGGACTGCAAAGTTGAAGGTGAAAACAAAAACCAAATACGCCCACAAACAACGAAGAATATGAAACGGAATGGCCTTTTTTTCTAGTCCTAAGATTCCAGTTCATACACGTATTGTATATCCATCTATTGAAAGAAACAATATGTTTGCGTTTGGCTGCAATTATAACGATGTTAAGTACAACAGCAGAAAAATGCCAAAAGCACACTTGAAAAGCTGTCCCACAATAGATAACTTTAAACGTTATCAACAGCTACAGCCTATTTGGGGTAGATGAACAGATACGGTTATACTATGGTACGGAATGCTATCAGCATTGGTCGCATTTTATACATAACACACAATTTGTGCGGTGTTATTTTTCCTGATTTTTTCTCCGTCTCTCTCTCTCTCTCTCTCTCTCTCTCTCTCCATCGTTGAACATGCGGTTTCAGGATAACATTTTTGCTAGGAAAATTTCAAATACGATACGATGATCGTTTGGTTGAATTGACACCAAATATAATAATTTCTTGGCATTTCTCCAGTACATGGGGACCGGATCGTCGATAATATCATAGGCAAGGTCGAAATTATATCAAAGTAATTTTACCGCATTCAACTAAAAGTCGCTTAAATTGTTCCCATGATATCAGCAAGAGAAAGAGAGACCGGAAGAGAGAGAACAAAAAAAAAACACACAGAAACGGCGGTGGCGATGGCATTTTTCCGTTCAAGTTGATTCAGCTGCAGTAATGTGTGTGTGTGTGTGTGTGTGCTGTGGCGAGGATGTGGGACTGCGGTGGAAAATGCGCCCACAGTGAACATGTACAAATGACAGCCCAAAAAGCACATAAATTAAATAGCGAAATTTCGGGGATATTTGGTGAAATGGCCGAAGCAAGGCAGAGAAGAAGAAAAAAACAGCCACCATGAACGAAACAGAGACGCAGAGAGAGCTAAAAAGAAAGATAAAATTCGACCGAAAAGGAAGTGGCAATACACCGAGAAAACTAACCAACGGCGGATATACGATTAATGTAGCCAAAGAGATGGAACAACCAATTTAGTTCTACCATAGACACACACACACACACACACACACACACGCACACACACACACACACACAGAGAGAGAGAGAGAGAGTGAGTGAGAGACAAAACTCATCTTCTCTCTGTCCTTCGCCTCGGAATTGCTTTCGATTTCTTTTCGGCCGTGTACTACACATCGTCGAGCGATTACACAATTTTCCTCTGCAGAAAATTAATAGAAAAAAGACACGATAGTAATTGTTCATTTCATCGTTCACAGGCATTAACATTATATCACATTGGATTTTCTTTTTTGGAGCGTATGAACCGAGAGGGAGAAGGGAGGAGATAGGCTTTTTTGGTAGGCATTTTCTTCTGTCTCTTTTGCTCTATACATTTTTTGGATTGGCTTGTGAATTGCGGAAATTGCTATTTCCATTCGTTGTACGACATTCGCAAAACATACCATTGCAAATGACATTTTCGCCTAGATTGACCGACTTCCCAATGTTGTTCATTTTATTTTCTGCTTTTTTTAAAATCATTTTTCAAATCTGAACAAAGTATTCACAAACACATACTAGCGCTCATCCATCAATTCCAGTTGAGATTGTGTACTCGACACCAAACCGCATGTTCAAAATGACCGCATGTTTATTGATTTGTTTATGTATTTAAAGCAATAACATCACCCGCTCTCTGATCATTACAAAACCAAACATATTATTTTAATTTGGCGCATATTTACACTCGACGGAGGGTGAAAAAAAATCCGTTCCAATTAGCGAACAACGATGATGTGCGGGTAGCACCATGACAAAGAGATGAAAACAACGTTTGACAATTGAATTTGATTTCGTTTATTTACGCAATTCATTTCAATGACTACATTTAGCAAATCGCTTCATAATCATGATAATTTATCCCGAGCTTCAGATCTTTTACCCGAAAATTTAACAATAAAAATGGCGCGCGCGCTTTTGTTCATTGACCAAGATACAGAAGCAAGAGAGCATAGTGTCATTCTCGGTGAATTCTTCTTTATAAATACAAAAAAAGAGAAGAAAAAACAAACGATTTTCAGTACACAACACAAAGTGGAACATTGGGGTGGAGGAGAGTTTTCGCGGAGAAGGGAAGCGACGAATGGGAGACAGAAACAAAACAATAGCAAGGTTCTTTGCAAGTGCATCATTTTCTTAATTACAGACATTTCTACGAACAAACAGAAGAATAAAAGAAGATAGAAAGATGCGTACGAAGAATGAGAAGTGAGACTACAATAAATCTCTGCCGTGTTCTGCGTGGGGGATTTTTCTATTTCGTGTGACTCCAGTAAAAAATGCGCTTGATAATTAGCAAGTGGAAAGGTGTACTTGCGCTTTTTTGTCATCGTTATGATAATTAACAGACGACTTCCTTGTCGCAGAGAAAGTGAAGCAGTTAGAGGGAGGGAGAGAGAAAGAGCGCACACAAAGCAGAGAAATACCACATATATCTTCTCGAACGGCGAAACCATTTTAACCGAGCAAAAATTATGGATATTTGCCCCTTTTGTTTGCGATAACAATCACCGCAAACTGCTTAATTTTATAATACGACCGTCAACCGCAGCACTTTTTTTATCCCATTTACTCTCTGTCTCTATCCCTCTGCCTCTCGTTTCCGATCTATCGCATTCTCATTCACATTCTCAGTGTTCTTAATCAAATTTCACCTTCTATTGCCGCGCAGTTCAATTAAGACATTTTTTTTTAGTTTTCACTTGGGGTTTTGCATCAATTGACTTGATATTTGTCATTGGCTTTAGCCTTGTCGCGTGTGCGAAAAATACTAAACCTTGCAACGATAGTTGTGTGTGTGTGTTTTTTTCCTCTGTAAATCGGATGTGACGGCAAAAGACAAAAGTCGACATCGTCAACTATCCGATAACAAATCGCTGATTTGACGAGAAAAATTAGTTGGAAATGAGGCACTTACATCGGATGTAATTGAAATGGCATTGTTGATATGCTCGGCATCGTCATGTTGCTGCTGTTGTTGCTGTTGCTGGTGGTGATGGTGATGGTGGTGGTGTTGATGGTTGTGCTGGTGATGTTGTAGTTGTTGCTGTTGCTGCTGTTGATTCAGTTGTGTTAAATCGATTTGTTTTAGACTATTGGATGAATTTGATTTTCCAATGTAACTACAAACATCTTCGTCGACATTATCGGCCATTACATTTACCATGTGCACTGTGCACCGCACGAAAAAATTGGATATGGATATGGTAGTGTGGTGTGATTGTGAAAACAATCAAAATTATTAACTGCCAAATCGAAAAATAAGCGGAACTGAATCATCGACAAAAATAGCACGGATCCGTCGAATAATCGGCAGGACTATCATGGGATTCCAAACGAATGCACTTTGAAAAACATTCAATCAATCGCGCGCGTGCTTTTTTATTTCCTTTTCTGGCGTTTCGATTGCTGTTTTGTTTATCACATTAATCGACCTAACTGAACGGCGAGGTACATAATTCGCTGCACACTCGTTTCGTTTAGTCCGTACACTGTTTACCGGTATTTTTTTTTTATTTCGACTAATGAATTGATTTTACCCTTTTAATCAAAATATCTGGATGTAAAATGTGGTTTAAATCTGTCGATGAGAAGAAAAAAAGTCGGAAAAGAGAATCGTTATTTATCGAAAAGTGTTGAATTCATCGACATCAATGACCAAATGAATACTAATCAATGGCTGAAAGAATGATAAACCATTGACCAAACCGTCTAGAATGCTAATCATGTCAGGCGTGTATGTGTGCGCGCATCAAACACATATCCAATCCATTCATTCGTTTTTGCATTTGGTTGCGATTGAACATGAAATTCAAATCAATTGTGTGTGCGAATACTTGTTTGTGTGGTGGCTATGCATATTGGGCGCCACTGTGTATATATTTTGAATTGCATTTCTGTTCTGTTCGATCATTTTCCCGCAAATCCAATTAAAAATTATTTTTTCGCAGTTGTATGAACTGGGTGCCAATGTACACACAATCGGTTATGCATATATACATTTATTTGTATTGAAATGTGCATTTGAAACCACAGATTAATGAACTACAAAAATACAGAACCAAAAAACAATTTAAAAAAAACCAAAACAACAAATATAATCGAAATATGAGTGCCTCGTCTACAAAAAAAAACCAATAACACTCTGTCGTTTACCGAATTGCGATGCAAATAGTGAAATATGGTTTCGGATGAATTCGAAACGGTTGAAAATATTACAGCAAAAATATGCCGCCAACGTAAGATTTTGTACGTCGAATTACAAACGCACACGATATACTTGTGGATGGTTAATCAAACACACGCAATAGTCAATGCCGAGTTTTTCACATAGTTTTTATGCAAGCCGTGTGTTTTGTTATTCGGTTTGTTTGGTTGGTTGGTTTTGTTTGGTTCAGGACACAAAAATATAAAGCTAAATATTGACGACTATTTGATTATTTGCTTTGTGGCTATTTTCAGTGTTAACACTAGCGGTTTCTTTATTTGTTCATATGACATAAAATTGGCTGTAGAACAAACCGATATGAAATGGCAAAAACGGGTTGGCAACAACCAGCCGAAAGAAAAAATGGCTCCAACAAATACTATTCCAAACATATTTAATAGACGCAAAACATGAATTTTCGCCCCCATTTTCTTTGTACTTTTTGTGATATCAAACGAGCTTACTGTTTTATTTACTCTCTCTCTCTCTCCTTCTCCGCCTGTCTTCCGTCACATTGACAACACAAAACGTAACTATCGTTTTGCTTTATTTCGCACAATTTCTACACTGCTTTCAATAGATCACATCTAATTAACCAAAACGATTGAATAATAAATAATTGCAAAACAAACAATTATAATTAAATGCTACTTTTAAAGATATATTTATTATATATAGATATATATTGGCATCGGGCTGTTTGTAAACAAATAGCAAAATTTACGCAAAACCAATTCGCGAACTCAAGCTTTTTATTTACACGCAGCCAAGCACAAGCACAAGCATACACATCACACTTGATTATTTATGATTAGAGACGGAAATATTTGGAAAATACACACATGCTGCGTGTGTACGAATTATATTCGGCTAAAATCATGTCTAGCTCTGCCGATGCGTTTCAATTATGCATAATTTTGGTTGGATAAATGCGTGCATATTAGTAATCAATTTTGTATTTACCATTTAATTGAAATATGCACAAAGATCGATTACCCGTAAAAAAACAAAACTACTTCACTTCGCTTCACTTTACTTTACTTTATTGTAACACAAAATGCTATGCAAACCTCCAATACTCATTTTTATCATTCAACTTCTTTCATCTAATGATTTTTTTTCTTCTGTTGTTTCGAAAGCTATGAGAATATCAAACCCATTTACTTTGCACCGTCTCACAAAACAGCAAATTAAATAGAAATTGGCATTCGATGAAGACGAGAGAAAAAAAAAGACGCACACACGTTTTGATTATATCCGATAAAATAATGGCGAAATGAAGCAGTTCGGAATGAATAAGAAACGAAAAAAAAACAGGAAAGCTGAAGTGAAATTTGTGTGTGTTTTCTTTTTTGTCGTTGCTACTTCTGCTGTTGCTGTTGTTGTTGTTATCACAAACGATATAGAACCAAATGTCGACCGTATACAGTACACTCATTGAAACACTGATAAGCTACACTACCAGCAACAACAACCAAATACAACATCTCTTTAAAACAAAACAGTCTCATTTCGTTTTGTAAAAGGTGAATAGAAAAAAAAACTAATGAACCAGTTAGAATCGACGATTTTGTTGCTTCTGCTGCTATTCGTACATTTTACACACGGAGAGCGAGAGTTTTAAAAGACGGCTGGCAAAAGAAAGCTAAAGGCAACAAAAGAACTATCTAGGCGAAACTTTGGATGTAAAATCCAGTGAATTAGAAGTGACACACGCGACGAGAGCAAGAGCGAACCGTATGGATCTAAATTGTAGATGTGCCGTTGTGTTCGTGTGTTTTTGCTTGTGTGTATGTCTGTGTATCTACATTTGAAATGGGTAGAACGGCTTTAACAATTTTTTTTGCAATTTCGATGGGCTTTATTCAACCATCCGTGAAATGAAAATGGCAATGGTGTGCGTATTTTGTTGTGACATTTATGTGCTTCGGCAAAACGGTTTCGATAAAGAAGAAAAAAAAATCAACACACGCCAGACTCTTTTTTTTCCTAACTATAAAGCATTCTGGTGTGACATATTTGTGATGCGGCATGGTCTACACGTGCGCAGTTATAGCGCGTTACGACTCGTTTCGATTCAATGTGTCACGGGGTTTTCATGCAACATGGATTTTATCTACTTTATGCGGATTTAGCAAAATTCAATCATTTATTTTGCTCTCTATTCTGACACATTTCAATGGAATTTTGTTCCAGATTATGACCAATTTTATTTCAATTCCCATTTATCCATGTGACACACCATCGTTTTGCTCAAAATTTAAATGAAAAAAAACAACAACGTCAAACGATGACAGTTTCTTTCCATTGAAATTTCTTTTCGTCTCTTTCTTATTTTCTCTCTCTGTCTCAGCGATAAATTTTGTACTGTTGACGTTGTCAACTTGTTTCGATCGCTGTTTGTTTTGGTTGGAATTGTGTTTCAAGTTTTTTTTTCCTTTCTTTTGGCCAAGAATTTTAAAAGCCGCATATAAAAATGGCCAATCTCATCGTTGACAACAGTAAACGCGATAGTGATGAAGACAATATTACAAAGCGGCTGAATAAAGCGTTTGAAAGTCGTTTGGATTTAGATCGGGTTTGTTGCAGAAAATACAAATTCTAATACATCTCATAATTCGTTTTTATTTCGTATGATTTAGGAAACTTTGGAGGCACTCAGTGATTTGTCCACATTTTTCACGGAAAATACACTGCAAACTCGTCGAAATTTGCGCAGCAAAATCGAAAAACGAAGTCTAACGATCAACGAAAATTTTCTGTTGGCATTTAAAGAGGTCAAAACCACACTCGACGGAATTTGCGATGATATTGATGGGATGCGTAAAACAGTTGGTGCAATGAAACAATGTTTATCGGAAACGGAAGCCCAAACCCATGAATTAATTCAACAAACGAATGCACTTCAAGTGGAAAGTAAAAAATTAGAAGTGCGACAGGAAATAACCAGTGCATTCTTAAGTCAATTCCGATTGAGTGTCGAAGAGCATCAACATTTATATGGAACATCACGAGATGCACCGATCACAAATAAATTCTTCGAAGTGCTTGAACGAATTCAGGCCATTCATGCCGAATGCCGAGTTTTGCTGCAATCAAATTGCCAAACAGCTGCTCTTGATATTATGGAAGAGATGACATTGCATCAAGAAGCCGGCTTGGAGCGATTGTATCGATACACACAGGCTCATTGCCGTAATGTTGACTCAGATATTAGTGGGTTATTGCAATTAGCGATGAACAAATTACAAGATCGACCGGTGCTGTTCAAGTATGTGATTGATGAGTATGCAAATGCACGACGATCCGTTTTTGTACGGCATTTCATTGATGCACTCACTGTCGGCGGACCAAATGGCAATCCAAAACCCATTGAAATGCATTCACACGATCCAAAGAGGTAAATTTCATTGATTTTGACAGCAGGAAATGTAACATTTGATTGTCAATAGACTTTCCGAACTCAATTTGTTCCTATAGAAATTCAATTATCACCCAAACAACATTTGACTATCGGAAACTCTTTCGTTACTATGAAAAAATATCAACTTGCTCGATAAACAACAAAAATACTGACCTTAACAAATCCAATCAACTCAATGTCATCCGTTTCGATAGAAAAAATTATTCAAAAAATGTTTTTACTCAAAAATTCTCACAGGTATATCGGTGACATGTTTGCTTGGCTACACTCGTCCATACCGATTGAACGAGAAAATTTGATGTTGTTACTGAAGGACTGTGATAAAAATGACATGAGTGAACAATCGCAGGCGGCTCTAACCCACATCGCTGACGGCGTTTGTCATGCACTGAAAGTGCGCGTAGAAACAATTTTAAACGGCTGCACCGACGTCATCACCTTGTATTCTGTGTCAAACTTGATACGATTCTATCAGACCATTTTGAAGCAGGTAAGTGGCATTGATATCACATTAGTAGAAAATAATGAATGAAAACCAATTGAAGACGGAATGCATTTGTCCACAGATAATAAAAGGAGGTGATTTGGAGGAATGTATCGGTAATTTGCAGTTGTTCAGCGAGTCAACGTATTTGAAAACATTGTCGCAACAAGTGAAAGAGTTGCTGTACGGTCAGCCGGGTGCAAATATGGGCTTGGAGCCACCGAATAATGATTTAATTCCATCGCACAGTGTGACTCGTTTGCTGAGCATTCTCAAGGAGATTTTGTCGGTGGCAAGTATGGTCGAAAGTCGCCAGACAGATATCACAAAAATCGTTTCGTGTGTTATCGATCCACTTTTGCATTCCATTACCGAGTCAGCTTCACATTTACCGACGGTCGATATGGCCGTTTACATTCTGAATTGTTTGTATCACATGCAAAGTACGCTCGGTATGTTTGAATATGTCGACAGTCGAATGGAGCGACTGCAAGCTCAATGTGACGCCCAAATCGATACATTAACATCCGAGCAGGCGTCATCATTAGTGGCCAATTTGAATTTAGGACCCATTTACACACTTTTACAAAGTTCATCGAAAGACATCGATCCGAACCATTTGAAAATGTTCATGGTAATTGCAAAAGTTCTTTTCTTTTGTTTACTTACTTTTACTCTGCCTGGTTTAAATGAACGTTAATCTGCCTCTTTTTCTTACTGAACTCTGATCTGCTAACAATAAACAATTTCTGTGTCTGATAATTTTTCAGGTAAAACTCGACTCATTTTTAGAGATGCCAGATGTTCTGTTGCTACCTCAGGTGAATCTATTGCAGAGCAATGCACATCGGTCAACCATACAAAAACGTTCATTCAATGTCATCATTGCCATTTACAAGCAAATCTACGGTTCGTATCCGATATAAATTCATTTTGCATTTTGGACATTTTTGTTTACATTTATTCTTTTTGTCAACAGAACGAGTTCACGACCCGAACAGTAACCTAGAAGCACAGCGTGCCATTCTCACTAAAACACCAGAGAAACTCAGTGAATATTTGAGTGTTTAGGTAGAAAAAAAAACTTGACGATTTTTTTAATAAAATTCAGTTTGTGTATTAAAATTCATTTGATCAAAATAATATCATTTCGAATCAAAGTTGAATGAATACTTGAATAAAGTTGTAATCATTAAAACGGCAAAAATTCGTTAAAAAAATGCAGTCTTTCGTACTTTTCGCTATTTTTATTCTGGCATTGCAATTGAGTTTTGCATCAACAGCCGATACTGAATACGACGATGACAATTACATTGATAATTATGATGACGATGACTATACCGAAGGTCCGCTTGAACGTATGGACTTAGAAGATGAAGATTCAGACGTACACGTTGTTGGCAAAAAAGATGAGCTCAGACAAATTATATTCAACCCACGCAAACGACGCCAACGACGCAGAAAACATCGAGGTAAATATTGTGTTTTTCATTTTCATTTAAACTCAACATTTTTTTTTTCCACGATTCGACCAATTCAATGTTAATGGTATTTGCATTTTTTTTCTTTTAGCCGCTTACAATGAGCTAAGTAGTTTGGAGTTTTGTTGGCGTAAACACGATGAATGTGAAAGTATTGGCATGAATGAAACAAAATACGAACTTACTAATGAAGAGGAGCAACGTTTTTGGCATTGCAATTGTGATAAAGAATTTTACATATGTTTGCACCGTTTAAACTCGACCGTATCGTCTCATATTGGTGAACTATACTTCAACTATAACTACCGATGCTATCGTCATGATTTTGAAATTGATGAGTGCAAAGAGTTTGATCACCACAAAATTTATACTTCACAAGAACGTTGTGTACAATATCAATTGATTATTAATTCGGTTAAAAGTGCTCAATGGTTTGACTTACCATTCTACGATGGTAAGCCACAGAAAAAACCAGTCTTTATGGTTAGAGATGAAGATTCTGAAGAAAATGAACTTGACGATGAAACAATAAATTAAAAATGAATATAATGATGTAAAATAAGTGGAAAGAAAAAATCCAACACGTAACAATGCAACTATTTCTACGAATAAATGATTCAATATATCCAAAATCTGCATTTTCATTACAATACTAATTAAATCGAAAATTATACTGCTTTTAAATGAAGGAGAAAAAAAAACATTCTTAAAATAGTCAGGAACAGAATTATCAACTCTCGCGATTTACAGTGTTTGTAGCAAGAATGGTATTTTTATTTTTTTCATTTTTTACATATTTAATTCTTTTCTTAATTTTTTTTTGTAAGCATTTTTGCATCATGACTCAAATTGTACAAAGTCTTGCAATCTCATTGTATTTGTGTGTGTGTGTTTTTTAGGTTTCAAAAATACTACACTTCTGAATCACTGTGATTCGAAAAGTGTAGCCAGTCTGTCAGATTATGCATTGAAATTATTCTGTGTTATTGTTGTTACTTTTGTTTGTTTGTTTGTTTTTTTATTATTCCACAAAAAAGCGTATTGATTTGTAGTTGATTAATTGACGTGCAGTTCAATTACTGTTGGATCTCATCGCATTGGTGATTGGTGGCATCGTCAAGTGAGTGTTCACTGCATCTGCTTTGGAACGTGTGTTCGTCAAGTGTCCAATCACAACGTTTTGCGCATGGTACATGGATTTCGTTGGTGCAGGAACGTTTCAAGCAACTCAACATGGCACCGTATTGCTTACAAAAACCACATTGATGTCGTACACTGCCCCAGACGGCCGTTTCTAATCCAACAACTCGTGCTCCAATGATATGCACACCGGATGCCCAAACGATGCAATCCTCATGTGCCCACACTTCATACGAACTATCATTAGCTTGTGTCATACCGTAGAAAATATCAATTTCACTGATTTGTGCATCAACAGCATTCGCACACAAATTCGATGTAGTGCCGCTATCAAGTTGGTTGAGTTTTCGCTTTTTCTTCACCGTCACCTGCGAGAAAAAAATCCATTTTTAATGAAAAAATTCCATTAATATCGTAAACCATCCAAATTGTAACAATTGAACAAATAGACTAATTTTCTGCAAATCTTTGAAGGGTAACTGTTGTTTTTTATATCATATTTGAGAAGATCACGAAAAAAACTTCCGATATGAATATATGACTTATTTGTATTTTTTCAGAAAAGTGGTTTATTTTAAGACTATGTTACAATTAGAACTATGTTACTATTTGGATGGTTTACGATATACAGTAGAACCTCGATTATCCGTCAGGCACTGGACCAGAGCCTTGACGGATAATCGAAAAAGACGGATAATCGAGATCAATCATGACTCATTGGAGAATTAGGCTGCGTATGGTATTAACAGAGGCGGCATCGAACGGATTTTTAGCTAACACAGCTTTGTTAACACAGAAATTATGCACACGATTTCTCTGACACTCAAGAAATTTGCATACATTCAGGCGATTTGAATGGTTTTTCGTATACGCAAGAAATACATTGTTAACATAGCACATACGGCTCCATTGATCGAGATTTTCATAAAATAAGGCAAAATAATCAAAATTTCCATACTTTCTAATTAGTTTTTGATGAGAAACAAAGTGATGTAGAAAATATATAATAGATATGAGAACAGATTTGGTGAATTGTCCAATATATTGGACAATCTTGTATATACAAGAAGTGCACCGAAAACGCAAAGCCTCTGATTTCAAATCTTATTGTGCGAATGTACAAGCGTCACACAATTGATTTTTGTTATGCAAGTTAGTTGGCAACTTTATTCGTATGTTCAAGTGAAATGAACTGAACAAAAACTTTTCCACCTTGAAAATGTATGACGGTTAACGGAGGTGACGGTTAATGGGAGGACGGATAATCGAGGTTCTACCGAGGGGAAAATCACTCTAGAAAATTACTTTTTCGGTTCACAAATTACTTTCACTATTACTTTTTCGAAGAGAATTACAAATTACTTTTTATCATAGAAAAATATATTTTTGACAAGTAATTTCTAATAGAAAAGTAATTTATCGAATAAAAAGTAATTTGTAGTAATTTTTAGTCGAAAAACTACATTCAAAATTACTTTTTGTTCAACGAATTACCTAAAAACTACTTGTCAAATAGAAATTATTTTTGAGTGATTTCCCCCTCGGGTTCTACTGTATTGATTTAAAAATTTAAAAAATAATTCTTACATTTCCAGCATTCCCTGGTTTCGACAGTGACTTGGCTGCAATGGCCGATATGTTGTGTGACAGCGTCGTTTTATTGGGTATGTTTCGATGTGATTTGAATACGTCATGTTTTGGATCGATTTGAGCCAGTTGAAAGTCCTCACTCTCCGTCGACAAAATAAATGGGCCAAACAAATCACCGAGGCCATATTTATGCGGACCCAATTTACAAAATACACACATCCAACTAATATCAGTGGTAACCGCATCGTATTTGTTGCTTAATGTACTAACATGCAAGCCACGAACTCTATTCCGATCGGCCGGCCTTTGGCTGATGTAGCTCTTTTTGAATTTACTTTGTTTTTCGGCAATTTCTTCGTTCAACGGTGCATTTATTACGTCGACCGTTCCATCACGGTCAACATGAACGTATGGGCCACGGAATTTGTTGAGCACATCGGTCGCCGTGAAATCATCTTTTGATTTCATTTTTTTAGTATCACTTTTCTTTTCAGACTTATCATTCGATTTTACATTCTTTTGATTGCTTTTATTTGCATTCGATTTGCCACCACCCATTTTACCATTAAAACGATTGTTTGGTTTCTTTTTTGTGACCGTTTTCTTTTTGGGCGTTGGCGATGCATTCGACGGCGATTCACTCGATGATGCTGACATCGATGCTTTAGCTACCTCATTACTATTTAATTTAGCTGCATTTTTATTCAGAGTATTGTTGTCAGTATCGTTCAGTGGTTGAGCACTTGCCGCACTCGTATCAATCATATTCGATTGATTGTTAATATCGCCGGGTAATTTTTCATACATTCCCCCACCGCCGGAACTGTGTGCTTCTAAAATGTTTCCTGAATCGATGGAATTTGTAGCATTCACTTCGCCGATTTGAATGGAATTCGACACAGCCGGCGTTGATGTTGCTGTTGTTGTTGTTGTGGTTGCATTGGAATTGTCCACTTCATCGTGGCCGCTTTCGTGTGTGTTGTTTTCAATTTTATCGCTCATCATTTCTGGTATAATGCCATTACCATTACCATTGCTATTGCACTTAACAGTGCTCGAGTGATTGTTAATATGTTCAGTGTTATTTGGAGTCTTGATCGATTCATTAATGCCATTCGATATTCGATTATTTTCATATGCATCCGAAACCAATTTGTTCGTGTGCGACTTAGTCAATTCCATCGGACCAAAGTCATTGTCACTGAAACCATTTTGCTCATTACACTTCACCAATTCCTCAACCTTTTTCACCAAATCGTCTGTGTTCGGAAAGGTGGCGATGTCGTTTGTCAGATTTACACCTCTCATATGGCTAAAATTCACCGCACCAAACAAGTTCAGTCCGTTCATCTCATCATTTTGCAGCAAGTTTGGTGTGTCTTTATCGTTTTGATGTGCCGGTGCAGTTGAGTTCGTTAAATCCAAATCATTTGATTTGTTATAATTTACTAAGCCATTTTCAAACATTTCCTGATTCGCACAATGATGACTCAAATCGATTGACTGCGTTTGTGGTGGTGGTGGTGGTGCTGCTGCTGCAGGTGGTAGTTGTGTCTGTGGTGGCAGCGTCGCTACAACTGAATTCGCCGACGGTAAAATGCTATTTTCCTCGGAATGAAACGATGGAAAATTGATTCCATTTGACTGATTGTTGTGACAATCATTCTTAATGTCGTTGTTTTTCTCACTGTCCATCGTGATATCGGTCGTATTCATTTCGTTTGACGAGCAACGAACGGTTCTTTGAGGTTTTCGTCGACGATATCGAGTATTTTGTTGTTTGCCCGAACCATCATCACCGTTACAGGTGCCACCAGATTGTGAATCTAAACTATCATCGTTTGATGTATTCGAACAATTTTTCGATGTATCCGTTTGGCGTGAAAGGAAATTCGATTGAGATTTTGGCGATATTAACATCGGCGATGTTGGTGAGGTATTTGAATTGAATATTGATAAAAGTGATTTTGACAAATCGTTCAAATTTGGCGTAATACTGGAAGTGACGGGCGGCGTAAGCCCCAACAATTGTTGCAGATGAACAGAATTACTTAGACTTTCGTTCTCGAAAAGATTGGCTGGATTTGACTCACGCCCGAGTTCCATCGGTTCAGTTCGTTGCTTTGACTGGAAATAGATGACAAACGTGAGAAACACGATGAAAAAATGGTTCAATTCGGTGAAATCGAGAGACGATAAGAAAAGCTACACTAACCTTATCATTATCGCCGTTTATTCTAAAATTGGACAGATCACTATTTAGATTGTTTGGGTCACGTGGCAGTGGCAACGTACTTGACGCGGCTAAATTTCGATTTGATCGCATCGAAGCCAGTTGCTCGGACATTTCATTTAAAAATGCAATCGGATCCGTGTTGAGCTTGTTGTTGTCGTCAATTGTTTTGTTGGCACCATTATTCGCGCTATCGTTCAAATCACCGGTCGGTTTCGAGAAGCGATTACTTGATGAGCCGGGTGAAACTGGATTTCGTGGTGATGGCGTCAGACTGTTTCGATTTGCATGCACCGTACTGGATGACAAACTTAAATCGACCGAATTAAATGGCATGGCATTCGTTGGCGTTCGTACAAATGGCAACAATGGATTCATATCTAAAGCAGTCTGAAATTGACAATTGAACACAAAAGAAAACACACAAATACGTTAGTCATAACCATTTTAAAGTGACCTCAAAACGGGAAAATTCATTCGCAAACGATTTTCTCGAAAATAAAGAAGAATATTCGAATAATGAATAAAACAAAAAAAAACCAAAATAATAAATACATTTTTCGGATTAGAATTAGCTACAGCAGCCGCTGCTGTTAATGCCATATAATTGTAAAATGCATCAGCTGGATTGGTGTTTGGCCATATTAATGGTGATGATCGAAGTGTTCGTTCGCTTGACATGTGAGCCAATTGTGGTTGACGCGGCATATATGACGGCACTTGTAAGTGATTCCATGAAGACGAATTAACAGGTTGACTCACTCGACTATGTGGATTGTGACCCGACATCTTGTTATACACGATGATTTGATTTCAAATCGGAAGGACATCCAATGCAAATCGTCTAGTCAAATCTCTACGCAATTATCCCACATTCATGTGCAACTACAACCACTATCGTATTGGATGCAGAGCAGTACGCGTACTACGCTTGTCCGCTCACTCTCGCTTCCGGCTCTCTGTGTATGTTTCGTGTATAAGTTTCGTCGTATGTTCTCGTAATCACGGGTAGTAATTAATTGTAAGGCTTGTAAGACTGTCTCTCTTTGTGTGTGTATGTGTTTTTTCCTCTCTACCGACTAATTGTTTTGCTCAAGCGATTTATAAACTGTACACCTAATGTTATTCTTTGCTTCAGAAATATACAAGGGTAGAAAAAGAAAGAACAGCCAAGCTAATCGGTCATCGTTTTCTTCGGTGTTGCAAAATGAAACGAAAAAAAAAATCTATGCAAATGCAAAATAATATATTTGCCAAATATCTTCCGTCGTACACCGAATATATTATATGTTATGTTTATTCATTGACGACTTCTCGCAGGGCAAAACACTTTTCACATTTTCATTTGCTACTGCTGTTGCTGTTGTTGTTGTTGTTGTTGCTGCTGCTGCTGCTGCTGCTTATAAGTACACGCACCAACACACACATAAATAGAACAACACTTACTAGTTTTATGCATCACATTAAAAACATCGCCCCTAATAAGCTACAATTTCAATGTGCATGCATTGTGTGAATATATATTGGCGATGAGTAACGACAAACAAAATCTCATTCGTTCATTCTCAATCTCAATCTGATCATAAAATGAGCCATCCTCTTCGTCGTCGTCGTAGTCGTCACAGCTGCATGTGTGCCATTTCAAATCATTCGAGTCCTGTTTATTGGCTCGTGACCATCAACATCACATCTGTCTTCGTCTTCCGTGTGCAGCACTGTTCTTGTTTATGAATGGAAACACTTGCGAAATCAAAAATGAACAAATCTACACACATATATCACAATTGGTATCGTTTTTTTTTAAATATACAGAACAACAAAATGCTCAAGTACATCGATTTACTTTCGGTTTTTCGGTTGGTTTGAGTGTGTTGATAGTTTTATTTTATTTTTTTCTCTTTTTCAAATAAATTTTTCATTCAGTTTCTTTGTATATTTGTTGTTGTTGTTATTGTTTTTCCTTTGTATATATTTTTGCATATTAACCACTCTTGTTGCGGCTGGTTCTTGTTGATTATTCCGCTGATTTGAAAGTGAGGCGTATTGGGTGGTGTGCGTGTATTTGTATATTTTCTTCTATTTATCTGGTATATGCGAATTTATTGTGTATTTTCTTCCGTTTATTCGAGCTGTTTAATTATTTCTATTAATGGACAATGAATCTCTGACACATCGGAAAGTTCATTCACAACAACGGGATGAGAATGAAAAAATCGCCGTGCATTAAAACTTGTTATTTCCTCTGCTGTCTCTCTTTCTCTTTCTCTTTCTCTTTCTGAATCTCTTGTTCTTTTCACACACCAACGAAAATGAAAATAAAAAACCCAAAACGAATCACATCAATCTGTGCCTTTTTATCCAATTTCTTTGTTATTTTCATATGCACATGGATAAAATTGAATATCAAAAACTGTTTTCTTGTTTCTTTCTCTCCTTTTTTTCTATCGTTTCAAGCTCGCACCCCAAATGAAAACTTTATAAACTTATGCTCTGCCTCCAGCACATTTACACTCACTCCAGCAAACATGTTCATGAACTCATACAAAAATACAGCACACACTATTCTCTCTCTCTCTCTTTTTCTCTCACTTTTTGGTTTTTTTCTCTTCGCTCTCTTCTCTCTGTGTATATGGTTGGTATATCGTGTGTCTGCTGTTTGATCTCCGGTCTCTACACAACTTCTTCTCTTCTCTTCTCTCTCTGTCTCACTCTTTGTTATTGTTGTTGCTGGCTGGTTGTTGCTTTTCTGATGAATATTGTCCAAAAAAAAAATTTCATTCACAAATCAACCATGGTTTGCTTATTTGACGTGATACTTTTCTTTTATGGCTCTGTTTACAATTTAATTTTCGATTTCAAATTGAGATTTCAAGCTTTGGATATATGAATAAAATGCATTTGGATTCAGTTGGTTTGTGCAAAACCAATACACACAAACACACATACATTCGACATACACAAACAAAGGTCCCATCCATTGTCATTGTGTACTAAACATAGTGGTAAAGTAAACGTCCTTGTTGTTACGAACGCGACTCTCACACAAAACTCAGCAACTACTCAACGTCTGAATTTTAGTACCAAATGACAACCGCTCTTGTTGACAGACTCTCGCTCTCTCATTTGTGATTGAGAATTTTGGAGAATATCATTGCACTGAATAAAATGTTCAATAAAATTGCTAATTTTCTTCTGAATTTTCAATACTCTGTCAAACAATCTAGTACTATGTGTTTACATCGTTCGGTCACAAGACGATCGTTATTCGCACCAAACATCGTATCATTTGGATTTGTTTTGATGGTAAAGCAGTTTCTTGTTGAATCTGCTACATCAACTAGTTCAAATGCGCGCGTAAAACTGGCGGGTAACATGACTATTGTGACTTAAATTTATCATCATCAGTTTAGCTGTTGTCCGTATAACACGTTTGATTACAGACGACAGAATTTTTACGTTTTTGATTCGATAAAATTCCAGGTAAAATCGGACCAACGCAAATAACAAGCATGTGCAAAAAAGTACCGTTGCGTGGAGCATTAATCGTTTTGGAAGGATGTGATCGATCTGGAAAAACGACACAATGTAAAAATTTGGGTAAAATGATTTGACACAAACTAGCTGTTGTTATGTTTGGTTAGATAAAGTATGTTAACATCAATGCCATATTTCCTTTGTTTCGGTTTGGTTTAGTGAAAGCATTAGAAGCAAACGGTCGACCAGCAAAATATATCAATTTCCCTGATCGTACAACTGAATGCGGCGGACTGATCAATTCATTTTTGACAAACAAAAAAGACTTCAATGACGAAACCATTCATTTGCTATTCACACTGAATCGATGGGAAGCCAAAAATGCTATGGAAATATTGTTGCGAGACGGTGTCACTCTCATTGTTGATCGGTATTCGTACTCCGGTGTGGCGTTCAGTGCTGCCAAAGGTTTGGATTTGGAATGGTGTAAAGCACCGGAGGCTGGACTATTGAAACCCGATTTAGTGCTGCTGTTGACAATGACTGCCTCAGCCATTTCAAAACGGGGTGGATTTGGTGACGAGCGGTGAGTAAATAGATAGATATCAATCGATTTTTCTGTTGAACACATTTCATGTTTTATCAGTTAATGACAGATAGCTGAGGATATATGCTGAGCATAGGAACTCAGCAAGCTGAGATTGGTACATTTAGATTTAGATTTTGTGACTTCCCTGCCATGCAAATTCATGTGATCTGGTACACATTTTTCGATGCTTTCCATGAAATTTTCTGTCATAAATTCATCTTATCATATGAATTTGCATGGCAGGGAAGTCACAAAATCTAAATGTACCAATCTCAGCTTGCTGAGTTCCTATACTTAGCATATATCCTCAGCTATCTGTCATTGACTGTGTTTTATTCATCAAAAGTCTTTCATATGGGTAACGTTTAATTTGCATTCATTAACATTAACAACAATAACAACAACATTCATTCGTTCATTGTTTAGGTATGAGGTACCCGAATTCCAACAGCGTGTCATGAAGATGTACGATCAACTCAAGGACGACAGTTACTGGACCGAGATCGATGCTGATAAATCATTCGGTGCTCTACATGACGAGCTGTTGACACATTGCAATCACGCGATTGACAACATTGTGAATGAAAAAATGGATAAACTCTGGTGACCAACACTTTGTTCAATTGGCTTTAATCAAAACAGAAAATTGTGTTTATTGTATACTTAAGTTAGAAAACAAATGGAAAATGTTATGATGAAAAAAATGGAAGAAATAAGTTAAAAATTAAGAAACATTTAGTGCGTAGTAAAGATCGTCGACGGTTGCATTCAGGATGATCTTCTGATATAGGCCCGCTGAGCTATCTTCGGCAATCAAGAGACGATTTGCGGCTAGAGACATACATATCATCATTGCTTGGTCTAGAATTGAATAGAAGTTTACCGTTAGTTTTGTGCGAATCGACAATCGAATTTATATGAATATTGAAATAAAGATGAGATAAGCTATTGTACCTTCAGTTGGTGGATTTTTGATTCCAAGTATGGGCGCCAATGTACCAATTTGCCAGAAGACTCGATGAAATTCGACCTCTTCGATGCCAGTGCGTTGAATTTCGGAAGCGACTGCTTGGAGGAACAACTTTTCGAATTTCGTGCAATTTTTGATGGCTCGCACTTTTGGACTGGCAAACATTTCGCTAAGCGCTTGATTAATGTGTGCAAAGTTTACTTCGATTAGGCCAGCTCCAGTGCTTTTCTCTTCTGCAATTTCCGTAGCACGACGACATATATCCAAGGCTCGTCGACAATCACCGGATACTGACGCTACTTTTCTGTTGAACCAATAAGTTAGTTTAAATTTTCAATTTTTCAGAGACATGAAAAACAATTTGAAGGAAGAAGAGGAAAAGTGTTATTTTTACCTTGCCACCAATTGAACCGCATCGGCCATGAAACAATTTGACCCAGCCAGTCGTGTCATTACAACCTCTTGCAATTGTTTGAATGAGTACGGTTGGAAAGTGATACGGGTCAAACCCAATCGCGAAGCAACTTTCAATTTCAAAACACGTTCTGGCAAATCCATTGTATTGGCAATTGTGATGGCAATCAGTCGAGAACCTTTGCGAACAGTCCAATCGAACAGATTATAGACGACATCTTGTTTTCGATTACAAATAATGTCCAGCTCATCGACTAACAGAACGGTTGGTCGAATTGCCTTCTTTGCTCCGGCCGTAAAACGACTTTCAAGCAAATCACGAGCCTGTGCCCACGCCATGGTTTTGCCGGTCAATTGGCGATAAATTTGCACATATGCTTGTCGTGGCTCCGTTAAGCGCATCCCATTAATGTCAACACAATCAAATGCAGGCAGTTTTTTCGGCTTTGATTCTTTTTGTATCGTTTTTATGACTTGTGTGACTGTTGCCGTTTTGCCTGCGAAATGAGTTTTACATGTGAGATTAATGACTTTTTTACTTTTCGAATGATTTCATTATACTCACCGGTGCCAGGGACTCCTGATATGTAGATACAACCACCTGATCCATCGCTTAATTTACCCATAATAAATTCATAGATGCTTGCGTATTCCTTTTCTCTGCATGGCAAACTAGCGGGAACCGCCGACACTTGAAGACGTTCACGAATTTGTTCCAATTCAGTTTGTTCGCCACCGATCGACTCTTGTCGGCTCTGGATTGATGGTGTGAGACCACCAGATCGATACAAACTTCGCGTTTGCTGCGGCGTCCTGCGTATTATGATAGACCATTGCTATAGTTTTGTTGATAATAAGAATAATTCAGTGAAACTTACATCGTTCCCTTTGGTGTTTTGGGTGTTTTTGGAGTTCGTTGTCTTTTTGCAGCGGTGCTACGTTTTGAGGCCGATTTTGGTGTCGATGGTGGGCTAAACATAAATACAATTTTTGATTCACAGATAAATTAACAAAGAATGTACCAAACAAAGTTCTGTTCTTGCTTTATTCTGAAACGGTTTTCATAGAAATAAACGATGTTTTGGTCGGCATACCTCATCGGCTTAGTGGTGCTTTTTCCAGAACGTTTTTTCTCAACCTCCGGCGAAGACTCTTCTTGAACGGCATGTGCTTGCATAGCAGCATTGGCCGCAGCTGATGACATTCGTGTTGATCGTCTTGACGGAGTTGATTCGACATCGTTATTTCGTTTGTTCTCACTTTTAGGCAGTTCCACAAAAGCAATACTGCGTCTTGGTGTGCCTGCAATAGACAATGATCGAATGATAAAATGTGTACTCATTTTTCATCATTTCGCTAACTAAAATAAAACAAAATTATGCTCACTACTTTTTGGACTGTCGAGATTTTTTAAAATGCTGCGCCGTTTGCTACTTCCACGAATCGATATAAGGGTCTTGTTCATTGGGCTTTGCATAGTATTCTCGTTCTTTTCGGTTAACGGTTTTTTATTTCCTTTGCTAAATGTCAGTTTAAGCGGTTCCTTTGGATTCATCGTGGTTTCATACGGCGATGATGGATGATCCTGCAATGCTTCGGTGAAGCTGTCATTAAGATTTTTCTTAATTTTTGACATTTGTTTCTGTGCTGGCGATTCATATTTTCCGTTTCGTGTACCTGGTGTGCCATAGTTTGAATTGCCGGTCAGTTTGTTTCTTTTGCTGGGCGATACTTCTTCATTATCTTTCCCAGCGTCAGGCGATGCCCGTTTATTCGGCGATGTCTGATTCTGTGTTCGTGTAGCCTTTTGCACTGTATTATTAACAATTTTAAAAGGCGATACAACTTGTAAGCTAATAGTTGAATTTTTATTGGATTTACCACTCTTTTTTGGCTCCACACTTGTTGAATTCAATTGCTCAATTATTTTGTCAAGTGATTCATTCAAACTGGGCATAGCCTCACTCGCTTGGTCTTCAGTGTCTGTGTAACATTCCATGTCAGTCATTTCGCCGGAGTTGCGTTCAGCTTCTTCTTCTTCACCGGGCTGCCAGCTAACCGGTACAAGCTTGTAAATTGTTTCTTTGACCAATTTATAACGACAAACGTAAGCCATTGGATGAAGCTTTCTATTCCGTTGAAGAATATCAGCTATTGAATCATTTTCGTGTGCTTTGAACACCATACATTTGCCACATATCAAGCTTAAATCGATATTTTTCGACTCCAAAACATCCTCAATCAATTCCTGTGAATGAAAGTTAATCTTCAATCCAGTGTCTGAAACCAACTTCACATCACGGGGCAAGTCAGTGGCACTGCAAATGGCAAGGAAATTTATCTTTATTTCTGTCATTATGAATTGCGTCAACCAAAATAGCTCACCTTCGATAACAAATGACATGAGCCTTATGACCAAACACTTGTTCAACTCGTGCAATTCGTGGACTATTATTTTCATCCTTCACAAACACAAAATCATTCTCTCGAACGTTCGCCGATAAATCCACAAAACAGTATTGATTCGCTCTAAATTACAAAGCAGACGGATTTTTGTTGTAAAGAACACATTGACATGTCAAATAACAACGAACACAAAAATTTCACTTACAATTGATTTCGAACGGCTTCGATGCGTTCCATTTCCATTGTGTTGTTGTTTTTTCTTCTTTAATTGCTACCGTTTTTTTGTGAACAATTTTTTTTAATGAAATATTATTCAAAAATTATTGCCAACTCTGCGAAATAGGTGCAAAAGAAACAACACCCATGAAATAATAGCTGAGCAACACAACACTGTCTTATTCTCTCTTTCTCTGTGTGATTTGTAAAAAATCACATTAAACACTTGTTTTAATGTCACTTCGGATATAATTTGTCTAAAATTTTAATCAAATTTATTCCAAAAAAGGAATCATAAAAGAAAATTCAGATCGAACGAATGTTCAATCTCTGTGTTGACAGTTTGCTGACAAAATATTTCGCGCCAAATAACACAGTGCGCAGGGCTGACACGTACGATGAGTTGAAGTTTTATACAGGGCTGCACTTCATTCGGTGTATATAGCAACTCAAAGACCGAATTGATGTGTATTTGATTGAAAAATAAGCTTTGATAGCATGCAAGAGATGCGCGATCAAAAGATGCGCTCAAATGATCATTTACTCAAATTATTGTATGTAAACTAGATCATGCCCTTCTTAACTGAATTCAGTCATATTATTCCGAAATACCTTCTTATTGAACAACAATATAAAATGATGTCTCATTAACACGGAATCATTAAACGAATTGTTGAATTTTATCATAGATAAATGGATGCAAATTCTAGATATTTAGATATCAAAAGCAACAAATGGCTAAAGTTTAATTTTATTATGAAATTTTATCTGATATTTTAGCAAGCAGTGTATTTCTCCATATTTTTTAGAACAAATTCATAACAGTTACCTGATTCACACTCAAGAGCATGTCTTCGTTTATTTGTTGGGCATAAAATGTTGTTTAATTGTCACAAAGCAATTCAAAATTCTTTGACTCATTTGCTCAGTAATTTACTCGGAAACATAAAAAAATGGTTGTATTTAACGTGTGTCTTTGATCAATATTACCACTCGAAAAATCGCAGTCTATAAACTGTTGGTGTTAATAGATCGATATATGAACAAAAGATACATACGAAAATTAAAAGAGTCAATTTGTCATGTCTTACGACACTTTTTTTTCTACATTAAACACAGAACAAATGCCCAATTGTTTGACCAACAAACTATGAAATGGCACTTACAGCAAATTAAGTGATTGCTAATTTGTGGCCGATGTTTACTTTTGTCACCACGGTTTTAATGATTGAATCAAATGGTAGCATATGCTTGACATTCATGTAAAGAATAAAATTGCTTTTCTTTTCAGATTTCTTTGCCGGTTTCTTAAGAGATTACATCACAGAATCAATGCTATGGTAATAAGTTGTTAGGTAAAATTCATTCGACACATTTCGTTGGGAACATCCATAGGATGGACATTTATTTGACCATTAGATCACAATGTAGAAATGATTTTCAACCGTTGTTTAAGGCGCCGTCTTGCTTATTTGTCGAATCTCGTTGTCATTTACAACTATTTACATGGCAAACAAAAATTTCATTCATTCAAAGAAGATTGAGAGGCATTAGGTCACTTTATGTTAGTGTACCGTTTACATAATCAAATTGATCGCCCAAAATAGACTATTTTCGCACTTTTAGTAGGAGTTTTATCGGCATTATTTCGGCGCTATATTATTACGCGAATTAGGCGGCGGGACTAGCTAAGGGTTTTCAATGTGAAATAACGTTATCATTTTTTGTCTATTTGTTCAAGTTTGTAGGGCAATTTGATCATGTTTGCATATTTTTCCCAATACAGTAGAACCTCGATTATACGTCAGGCACCGGACCAGAGCCTTGACGGATAATCGAAAAAGACGGATAATCGAGATTTTCATAAAATAAGGCAAGATAATCAAAATTTCCATACTTTCTAATTAGTTTTTGATGAGAAACAAAGTGATGTAGAAAATATATAATAGATATGAGAACAGATTTGGTGAATTGTCCAATATATTGGACAATCTTGTATATACAAGAAGTGCACCGAAAACGCAAAGCCTCTGATTTCAAATCTTATTGTGCGAATGTACAAGCGGCACACAATTGATTTTTATTATGCAAGTTAGTTGGCAACTTTATTCGTATGTTCAAGTGAAATAAACTGAAAAATGAACTGAACAAAAACTTTTCCACCTTGAAAATGTATGATGGTTAACGGAGGTGACGGTTAATGGGAGGACGGATAATCGAGGTTCTACTGTATTTCATCGTGGCATTCTTCGTTGAAACTTGATATGTAGAGCATTAGAATGGAAATGCTAAAAATTGCAATATTTGAAAAGGTATTTCCTTTCAATGAGGAATTTAAATTTAGTTTTTCGTGGAGTGAATTTCTTCAGTAAAATGTAAATGAACCGGAAATGAATCATTGTAGTGCGATTGTGCAATTTGTGATTCGTTAATCGAATAGCAATTGAAGCGAATTGATCTCAACAAAACATCCGCTATCGAATATGCTTCATCTTTCTTCTTGGAATAATTCAAAGATTATTGTTTACAGAATTTTGCTTTGTCTGATATTGGGCTCTGTGAGTAGATTGATGCATAAGAAATAAACCATTTCCATAATATTTTGCTCGAAAATTCACGGGTTTGACCATAAACTACCAAGTTTATATGTTTACACAATTGTTTGCATTTCAAAAACAACAAATTGAATATAAACAAATCGGATTGTGTGTGAGAGACCACAAGAAGCGAGAGCATAACATTGGCTGATTCAGCAGAAATGGAGTGAGCACAGCATCGACAGGATCATTGATGTTTTCTTGTTGTTGTTGTTGTTCAGAAATTGCCGGTTACATGACACCAGTGTTGAACTTAAAATGTGGCCTAAGAACGTGTCGGCGAGATATAGAGAACGGCAGTTTTGCTTAATTCGATTAAATTGGCTCCAGAGCTAGAGAGAGAGAGAAAAGCACTCAATTTATATTACACACACAAAGATGCGCGCAGTTAAACGCTAGCGAAGGGAAAAGCGAAATTTTTAAAGCCACCATAACGACTAATTTAAGTGATATTTTGTCGTTGTCGTCGTCGGCCAACCGAATATGGCATGCGACACAGTCTAACATATGGAATCCCAGTGTTGTGTATGTGTTCTTTTGGTCGACGAATGAACGAAAAAATGCATGTATATATGAATGATTCAAAAAGCAAATAAATAAACAAAAAAACGGTAATACAACGGACACAGGCACAGGCACAAACAGGCATACTTGGATACATGTTAACTGATTAGTCGCACGTTCATTTCGAATTGAAATGAATGAAAGCTTCGTTGACATGCACACATCGAGAACACACACACACTCGGGCCAACTGAGAAGATTGCGCGCACTCTATTACGCACCGTTCAAAGTGACTTTGGGCATCGTTAGAATCGCGTGGTTCTCCGCGCAGCAAACACAAATTTCGGAATAATCTTCGATTGACTGAGATTAAAAAAAAGAAATCAAATTAATCCATTTGGCTGGACAAATTGCGAGGAAAATAAATTGCTTCAAAAAAGGAAATTAACTGTTTTAGTTTTTGATTGAGTGAATTTACGTTGAAGATGTTCAAGTGTACGGTTATTCAAAAATTGTGTCGCATTGGTATTGGAATTAAATTGATATGACCGACTTAATTTGGAAATGAATGCCAAACACTGCAATTGATTGCTTATGGAATTTCCTTCGTTGAAAACGTTTTGTATTTTTGGTGAATGCGAAAAAACTACTGATAAGTGTGCTTTGGAATAACAACAGTGATACAGAAATATAACACATACGAAAGTGAACGCAAAATTCAAATGATGTAAAAAGAAAATAAAAGCAAAAAAGTGAACAGACGAATATTTCTAACAAATTTTTGTGAAGAAAAAAACGAACAGTAAAGTGTAGAACATCGAAACAAACCGAAAACGAAAATAAAATGCACATTGAATTGTTTAATCAATTTGCGAGGAATTATCACAATCTTTGGGTTAAATACGCTGACGACCACGACAACAACAAATAGCTAACAAACTCATATCGATTCTGAATGTTTGTGTGTTTTGTGTAGAAGAATTTTGCTGCCCAAAAAGAAAATCACCAACCGAAATCTAATTTTTATCTATATCTTGAATTTGTGTACATTAGGTTACTTCAGGTAGGTCTCATTGGGTGAACCTTATTCGAAAAACATTGGTTTTCCTCCTTTATTTCGTTCAAAAGAATATTTATAACGTTCGAAGCATGAACTTGTGCAGTTATATGAACCTCTACTCAAAACGGAATCATTCAATCCTTTCGAAAAAATCATCCAAAAGCCAATTTTCAGACCGATTTTCATGCGAACATGATCTCAAGGAATTTCTCAATTTAAGCTTAAAATATATTCTCCACACCACCATATGAATGTAGGATCGTAGGATACTACGATCCAAATTAGCTATTAATAGATTGCAAATCAGACATTGTATTCAGTCTCATGCCTACTCTTATTCAATAAATATATTAATATCAGTGGTGTACTATTCATTATTATTCTACATGAATCACATTTTCTTGATATTTCTTAACTGAAATACGTATTTCGGTGAGATTAAACGGCATTAGCTGTGTTGCTTTCGGCATGGGCTCCTTTTATTTACTATCGATTGAAAACACAATGTTTTACTCACGCTCTAATTGAAAGATTCAATAAGGCATTTATCTTATCACCAAAACCTCTGATTGAGATAATGCAGTTGCCATCCGATACACTTCCATTGGGTGTCAGTCAGTTTTATGGTTTATCGCTTGTACAAGAAAATGTTTGTTTTGAAACGATGAGCATCGTAAATGATAACAAATAAACAGTTGAAACGCATGTCGCACTCACAAATCGAAAAAAAAGATGACAACAACAAACACAGTGTATTCTCTGAGAAAAAGCTAGTTCTTTCTATTTCATCGACTGATTCCGCAAGTAATACACACGAAACAAAAGATAAACAACGTACTCGTGATTATATAACTATTAGAGATTTCAAAATTGATTTGCCGTTTGAGTTTTTCGATCGGCGAGTGGTTTTGTCGATTGTTTCAGTTGTGCCATGATTTCATGCACGTTGACTGGGGGCATATGATAAGAATGAAGTGAACGACTGGCGATTTCAACGCCAATCATTTTTGCTCCTGCTTTGGTCTTTCATTGAAACTGACAGTGTATAATCAGTTTCTGATTCGAGTCCAAAACTGCTTATTTTTGAACTCCAATTTGATGAAAACTTCCAAATTCAACGATTTTTCAATTCATGCTCAAATTATGCTTATCTTAATTTTAATTCAGTACGTTGATCGGTGTAATCATTGTATTTATTCCATATTATTCTATTTCCTTATCGATTTGTTGCTCACAAAATATGCAGCGTTTTCCCGGTAATCCCGCTAGTTTGTCAATAAAAAGCAATTGATGTGCTCTTGCGAGCAAGGGAACGAATGCGTGAGTGATGAAAGAAAAAACTTGGGCGAGTTGAGTTAAATAAAGAAAAATTTGCATATTTAATGAGTTTGATCAAATCAAACAATCAATTAGATCATCGGATGAGCGAGCAAATCGTTTTCGGTTCCGTATCATCGACAGTGTATACTCGACATAAAGAAAATGTGACGTTTTTTTGCGCACTGTTGACAATATTTGATTGGATCGTTGCGTTGTATCGTTTTCAAATGGTTTTTTTAAATGAAAAGCAATCAAATAATTGTTAACTGTATATGTCCCAATATTGTGATCGATTTGAAATTGGAGCGGCAATGTGAAGGAGTCATGTCACTCACGGACACATACACAGAGTGTGAGAGAGAGAGAGAGAGAGAGAGAAAGAGTGAGTGGGAGAGACGTGTGCATAAATTGAAAACTGACCGGACCGGAACAATGTAAATGCAATCGACATTTGGCGATATACCCAACCTTCGGTAGACGAACACATTCTTCTTCTTTTTTTTCGACTATTGTACATTTTTGTTGCACTCATAAAACGACTATCTCATCATGATTGTTTGTTTTTTAACAGACAAGACACGCTTTCTGTCTCTATCTCTCACGCTCTACACATGCGGCAATAATAGATGAATGTTTTGAAAGTGCATTCTATTCAACTAATCTCTGGCCATTATTATCAAGTGACAAACAATCGATTTGCGCTTCTCATTCATACATTTGCCATCGAAATGGCCTGGGTGCATAATTTGTTTATTGTTTGTTTAGGCCGAACATAGGCAGAAATGCATTGATTTTGTTTGTTTTGCACATTTAACTGCAGTTATGGCTCATTTGTAATGTATACCTGTCATTGCGTCTATTAAATAAAATGAATTTGTGGAAAAAGAATAAATCTATTTCAATTTACAACATGCATATTTGTATTGTAGACGATATGGCAAAAAGCGATCAAATGTCAAGTTTGACTACCATCGCATGATTTTAGAGGTCTTTCATCACATGCAATGAAAAAAAAAAAACAAATCAACAACTTTTGGCGTTGCTTCGAAGAGAAAATCCGTTAATTTGTTAATGAAATTTGCTGTTTTTTTTTAATTCTATTTTCAGGATGATAACCATTTGGTTCGCTTTAGTTTCACTCGCATATGCACCAGTTTTCATTGGTGCAAATGCAAGCATTCCGCCCACAGAGAAGTCTATCATTAGGAAAACAGTTTGCGAGCCTGGAAATGCGTATCGAATGTTTGGCTACGATTGCTCCTACATGGACTTGACGGAAGTGCCACAGAATTTAAAAAGCAGCGTTAAAGTAAATTAATTTTATGATCATTTCCCAGTCTAGCATAGCTTCTAATCGTTTACAGCAAATTATTATATTCAACTTAGAATCCAACCAAGAAAATTATATCTGTTAATTTTATTCATTCTCCTAATTATATAAACTGCATTCACACTCTTCATATGCATAGCTATTATGCTTTATTAAAAATGCAGCAACCGAAGATGAAACCAGTGACCAGCCGCTTCTCCTTTTTTTCTCTCTCCTCTTCGTTCGAATTGTTCTTAATTGAAAGGTCAATTAAAACATGTTTATGTGTATTCGTTGCTTTTTTTCCTTCGTACAAACAATAGTAACTCATCACAAATCAAACATCATAAACATTCGGTACACATGAAACAACGACACACACACACACACACACAAACAGACACAAGGCACAAGCATAACGCAACCAAGCAATTTAAATTAATTTAGCGTTCGTTTATGGAAAGCGGCACTGTCAAATTAGTCGTCTAATTTCAATGCGTTCGAAACAAAAGGCAGACATTTTTACTCTCAAAACCAAGAATCGACATCGTTGACGTTGGATTTGAAAACATTTATATTATATTTGGCTATCGTAGCACAATTTTAGCCTGCCGGTTAATCTCGAATCTCATGCAAAACTTTCGTTCATATCGAATTTTGTTCAGTCGAAAAAGAATTTAAGAAAAATGAAAATTGTAATTTAAAAAAAAATTGATTGCATTAACAAAAAAAAAGAAAGAGAAGCGATCAAAATGAGCAAATCAATGAATTACTTGACCGATTTTTCATAATCACACGATGCAAGACTTTTATTTAAACGAAAACATCACCCATGTGACTAATAGCCACGAATTGTCATCAATTCGTATTTTGTTCTTCTCTTATTAACGCGCGACAAATACTAATGCAATGTGGGGACACACACACATTTCGATTTGCGTTGGTGTTTTCATGGCTTGACGAATGGAATTCTCCCTTCGATCCATAAGCCTGAACAATTGAAAATACATTTATAGCAATAATTTTAATATCGCATTACTTATTGGAATTTGATTTGAAGACTTCAGTTTAAATTTGGATTACTATTTTCTTTTTAATTTTCTTTCTTTTTCTGTTTTCCTATTGTTTGATGCATATTTTCATTTTCGTCGTCTTTCAGATATTCGATCTGTCAATCAATCGGATCAAGGAGCTAACGAAAAAGTCATTTACTCGATATTCGGACATTAAACTGTTATATTTATTCGAAAATAGGATAAAGACTATCGAAAAAGGAACATTTGCCCATTTGACAGGTCTTGAGGTAATTTCAATTTTCCACAAACACTGTAATAAGTACATAAGTATCTGTATTAAATGCGAATAATTTATGATCCCGTATTATATACACAGGCCATTGACCTTTCAAGTAACAGCTTATCAAGCATCTCAGTGGAGCTATTTAAATTGCCGCGCCTAAGGAATATTTACTACAGTGACAACCCATTACTGAAAATTGGAAATGATTTAAAGGTAAATAGGTTTTAACGAGATTCAATATATGGTTGATTAGGTTATAAATGCGATGTAATAGGTGAAAAATAGAAAGTTAACCGATTTAATTTCGCTGTTTTGGTTTTAGCATTTGGAAAAACCGATAACGGCACCATTGCAAAAACTCTTTATGGCTTATTGCGACCTATCGTCAATACCTGATCTTGGCATTCTACCCGATTTAGTATACTTGAATGTTTCATTTAATCTTTTCGACGAAATCACACCGCAACAATTTTCACCGCTTTGCAGCTTGAACACACTTGTTATCGAAAATTCCACCCATTTAAGTCCATGCACATGCAAATCGTTGCAAGCCTATCTCGATAGACGACTCATCTATGTGAATCACACATTTGATTGCCCAACAGTTCACGAAGGTATGGATACTGGGGACAAGGGTTTATTTATTGCATTTGCCTTTTTTTGCACTTTAATAATCGATGTGTTGCATTTCTTCCAGAAGAAGTATACTGTTCCGAGTCAGTGAATGCAACAGCTGATACAGACGATTTTGATAAGTGTTTGACGAGAGTACAGGAAAAGAAGCGCGATGAACAAGCGAAAGAAACTTGGATGCTCATTGTGATCGGTTTGGGTGTATTTTTCATCGTTTTTATTTGTAAGTTTGTTTGATTTTTTTTTTCAATATTGTTATCGCAACGTAGTATATTCTCAAGACTACGTCTGGAAATTTGTCATATTCGTTCCAAATGTTTTTTTTTCTTCGAATTTTGATTGAAAGTTTTACATTTTTGTCCACAGGCATTCTGTACTACTTCCATCGGCGTAATGTGAAAAAAGCGAAACTATTAGAAAAACAATCAACAAAATTGCGACACATTCATCAAACGACAAATGGTAATGTTGAGGTACTACTATCCCGAGCCGAATAATGCGTCTTGATTTGTGTATAGATAGCTTATGTTCGTCTTACGGTGTTTTAACTCACTGGATTTTTTTCTCCAAAACTGACAAACCAAAGTAGCAGCATCTACACCATAGCAACGTAGCCACATAAATATTTGTAATAACTAAAAATTAACACGTTTCACAATTCATAACACGTCCTAAGAAAGTAGAAGAAAAATGATGAAGCTATTAGAATTTACCAGAAGATTTTAACATAACACACGGAACTGTGTAATTCGAAACAGAATTCCCTCTCAATCATTTTCACTATAGTGAATTACTATATAGAGTAATTTTTAATTTCGAAGGGTTGCCAGAATAAAACACACCACCATTTAAAGTATATGTTGCAATTGTAAAATATTAAATTGTAGAATATCCAACCGCTTTTTTAGATTGCCTTCTAATTGTATGACCAAAGATTGCATTTAAACTCAACTAATTAGTGAGAGTCAAAACGTTTTCAACGTTAGGATAAGAAACCAGACAAAATCAATGAACATGACACAAGTCAATCGATACAGTAGAAGCTATAAAACGAATATCAAGACATTGTGATAAAATTTAGAACTTATACGAAGAAAAAAACATAGATTTTATAACGGAGTAACACTGAGATTTTTTTATTAACTTAGTTTAAAAGAAAATTGTAATTATTTGATCGCTTGGACAATGGCCACTCTCCGGTCAAATCAAAAGAAATTCATTAAAGTGTATTGATTTCAATTTTAAATTTTGTCAGACTTTTTATTTTTTTAGCTAAAACATTACATATTCTATGTGAATTCAAATAACTTTTATTCCAAACTATCGAAAAAAAATGCAATCACAAATGGCCTATCTAAGTTTATCAGCAGTAAGCGACTATACAGCAGCATGTCCGCATCACCAAAAAATCATTCAACAGGAAAAAAAAAATCGTGGAATCTCAAAACAAATCAAATGACCCAAAAATGATATATTCTAACGTTTCAAAGGCCGTGCAAAAGTTGTATTTCGTCAATGTTTTGCAAAGATCGACATTAAAAAATGCAAGTAAAAGTGATCGGTGTTTCGGCGTGTGCTGCGAAAATTTTGATACTTGATTATGGAACTTGAAATCAAAGGAAGTAGACCATTCGGACGAAGATAAGCGATGTGAATACAAATTCTGCGATGTTCGCAGAAATTTGCCCAATGAAACGGTTTGCGGCATCATACAGTATAATCGACAGTAACATGTTGAAACCAAAGTGTTGTCTGAACTGAAGAGTTTGCATATGGTGTTCTGAAGTTTCATTGTCGATACAAATCAGATGTTTTTTGCCTGCACACAGCTCACAGAATTGTGCATTCGAAGTTGTTTGTATTGGTACAGCTTTTTGCCTTGGCTCAGCAAAGTTCACTGCAAAAAAAGCTTTGGAAATTCTAGATTTGTTGGACGATAATATCATCACATGTGTTACACTAACGGTATTGAAGTATTGCAAACGTCTAAATTTATATCAAGGCAACAATCTCGTCAAGAACTACTCAAATTGGCTGCTCTGACATTGTTGAAGGAACTTGCGTCAAACTTGATGGAGCAATTGTCATAAACCATTGGGTTTGTTTGATTTTTATATTACACGAAATGATTCGAAAATTATCTCAGTGTTGAAGAATAACCATAAACATTAGATATGATGATTCAACATGTGGATCTGATTGAAACAAGGATAGACTTAATTATTTCTCGAAAGTTCAGTAGGGGAATGTAACCGGTTGTGGGACAGCTCCGGTTGTGGGACAGTCGATTATTTTGACACTTATGTAGTATTAACACCAAATGATGTATTGTAATGTTGTTTTATATCCGTAATCAAACTTTTGGTACGACTCTGAGCTGAATATATGCATTCGTTATATTATTTCCAGACGATGTGTTGAAAAATGTAAAAAAAAGTTTCATAGAATTTTTTGAGAAGTAATGTTTTCTCAATTTTTGATGAAAAAATGATCAGTAAAATATTGATATACATAGTTTAAGAACTAAATTTCATCATGAGTAAGTTGTTTTTATGAGTATATGAGCATTGAATTTTTTTTTTTGCATTACAAACGAAATGGTGTACAATTCCGGTTGTGGGACAGTCATGTACCCAGTTGTGGGACACCCATTTTTCTGCATTGAAAGCATGAATACGACGTTTCAGTGATGAAATATGGTCATTTGTGTTAAAATAAATATGTGTGGTCGGAATTATTGGTGTTTTTGTGACCGTCAAATCAACATTTGCATTTCCCATCATGTTAAAGGGACAAAATACAGCTTTTCCAGTACAGGGTGATGATACGTCAGTCCAGACTGTCAAAGCTTCGTATGACTGAGATAAAAAGTAATTGGAGAAACCTTACTTAACTTTGATGTACCGAATAGCGGATTGAAGCCTAGGGAGATTTAACTACGTGAAAACTTGTAAAAAAATGATATAAACGCGCACGAAATTGTTACATTCACCACAGAACTTGCATGATTCCACTCAGTTGACAAGTTCCGTATTAAAACAACATGCGCGAACTTGTGCGAGTTCGTGTGCAAACATGAAGCTGGACGACGCGCACACATCAGTCGTTCCATTTATTATATCTGGATTAACTTTTTCTTCCAACACTTTCTCCAGCTCTTTAAAAATATTTCCTTTGTCCATTTTATAATTATATAAATCTTTGAACTTTTGGAAAGGATGTGAAAAATCTTTATACACGCAAACAACCGATTTTCAGTTTGAAACGCGTTTTAGTTGTCAAATAACAACTTGAAAAACGCGCAAAACCATAAACAAACTTGTGTAAACTTGTGACCGTGCGCGTCAGTACGTACAACGAACGCGTCGAACTTCCGCGAATCAAGCAAACTGGCAGAAAACATGCTGCACTCGTAAGAGTTAAATTCCCCTAGATTGGAGCCGATACACCGAACGATTGGGGTAGCTATTCGATGATATTACAAAATTAAACTATGAAGAGTTACCAGAAGTAATATTTGGTCCAGCTACACACATTCCATCGAATATTGACCAATCAAAATTCAATAAAATCCTTTTCTTGCCGTAGAAAAGTCCACTTCAAATGTGCAAAGGGCTTTGATGGTGTCTACATATGCATTCACTGCGAATGAAAATAATGGCTTATTTTCGTTCGTAATTTTTCATGTAAGCACCGTTTCATCATTGTTTGTCTATGGTAGTCTATAAAACTGAATAAACAATCATAAAATCTTGATTTCTAATGATTTTACTCCGATTTTTGACATTTGAACCAGAAAAAATGGGGTGTCCCACAACCGGGCACAATTTTTTTTCTCGCAATTTTCAAGACTGTCGGAAAAATGACCATAAAATTTTTGTTGTCGATATAAATGACCAACTTTGTTTAGAGAAAAGTTAGCTATGATGATTACCTTTCGAACGGTATATAGGGTTCGAAAAAATATATGTTAGAAATTTTTTTCCGGCAAAGTTACAAAACCCGTCCCACAACCGGTTACATTCCCCTATATACTTGAAAAAATCACGAATTAAGCGTATTCATATTCTCAATACCTGGAACGTAGTATCAAAAATTTTGGATTGTATCGCAAACAATCGATTGTAATGTGTTTAAGCCTGTGTTTGCTCAATTGATTGGATTGCAGCTTGTTGCAGTGCGACTTCATTGGCGATACAAATCAGATGTTTGCAGCTTGTACATGTACACAGTTCGAAACATTATATATTCCTCAAAAGAAAGAAGCTGATATACCGGAGTGCAAGTTTCCGAAGTTTCACTTTGAAAAAAATTGGCCCAACGACTCGACTTTTGCCGCAGCAAAATCCACATATTAATACTTTGCGTGTTGACGGTGGATTTGTCGATGACATCATCTCAAATGTGGTTCAACACACCAACGGTATTGAAGTATTGCAAATTGTTACGTTTTCAGAATACGGTGATGAGCATGAACAATCTCATCAAGAGCTGCTGAAATTGGCCGATCTGAAATCATTGAAGCAGCTGTCTTTAAATATCTCTGGAAAATACGACAAATTTGCTGGTGCATTTGCCATGAAGCAAATTGCCAAAAGTCATTTGTGTTTGAAGTGGTTTGATATCACCTCCGAAGATTTGAAAAGTATCACAGTGTTGAAGACATTGCAACACCTGGAATTGGCCAAAATTGACGAGCTGACTGATAAGAATATGGCTTGGATTGCAAAGAAGCTTCCACTGTTGCAACACTTACATCTTATTGCTAATTATAATGAAAAGGATGTCGTTTCGATTGCTGGCCTTGTGAAGGTAATTCGATTGGCTGAAAATCTATCATTCTTCGGTTTGAATGGCATACAGCATGTGAAGATTGACCAAGAAGCATTCGAGTCATTGATAGAAGCGGTCAAGAAACGAAACCATGGCAAATTTGACATGGAAATACAGGAGGGCTGTGAAATGACTATCAGCTTCGATGTACCACAATCAATTCAAATCAATCGATCAACATTGCAAATTTATAACTCCATACCAAATCTTCCTTCTTGCAGATGTGCACAATGCACTCAAAAACGGAATCTGTATCTATCAGAATTAGAATCTGACAAACAACTCATTTAAATGTCTTCAATCGACTCATTTCATCAGATGGACACATGATACCAGTAAAAAGGTATTATGACACCTTCAAATCCACTCAAATAGAGACTAAATAAAATCAATTGCACACAAAAAAATATACTGTTTGAGCCACTGAATCTGAATCCATCGGAACTTGGTCTGATTTTAAATCAAGATTTGGTCTGGATACAAGCACTTTAATTCTACAGCACGATAGCATATAACAATTTTTTCCATTGTTCCTATGATTTTCGCCATTGAAGTGATGGTGTCCGAGTCAATTCATGAGAAGCCATAGATCAGACAATATTTTACGAAACAACAAAGTAAACTTAATAACTAAAACTCTCAAGGACTTGTTATATAATTCTTCAGTTTTTCCAGTGAATGTTGATTTTTGTTTTGCATTCCGATTTAATGATTGAAAATAAATAAATTTCAAAGAATTTTTTTTCGCATTTTTTTTATTCAATAAGGCTGTGCGCACCGCAATTTATTTGCATCGACAAGATTTTCAAGAGAAATCATTGTTTTTCTCTCCATCGTTTGAATTGCAGTCACTAGCTACAATTGGATTATCAGTCAAATCACGCTTTTCCTTGGCTTTGTTTCGTTTCTCCGAATAACGGCTTATTCTTTTCTCATTTGCTGGTTTCTTGCGATCATCACTTTGATTTTTGGAAGATTCTTTAGATTCAGTACGCTTTCGGCTATCACCACTCTTCGACGACGACGACGCTGGCTTCTCGGAATTACCGATCTGATTGCTGCAACTTTCGTTTTCGGGAGTCGTAGCACCTCTATTTTCGCTGGCCTCATCACCCGGATACGATGAACTGTTTGTACGACGCTTGCCCGGCTGGTAAATCTGCAGCGATGGCCGATCTTTGTTTTTCAAATTGGAAATTGAACGCTCTTTTTGCTCACGTTGCTCTCGCTGTTGCTTCGTCTCGGTATTATTGTTTTTGTTGTCATCGGTCGAACTGAAATGGGAACGGAAATATTTCAATATAAACTATTTAGCACGCATTATTTTTGAAATGATTTCAACTTTTTTTTCCACGAAATGCTGTGAGACCTTCAGCCTATAAGTTAAATCGCTTGAATGACACATTTTTTACTTACATGCTTTGCTGTCCATCTGCTTGTGCATCAGCTGATTCTTTGTGATCAGTCTTCGACTGCGTAGACTTTGAGCCAGACTCATTGCGTTTTTTCCTATCACGTCGACTTTCGCTGTATTTCTTAACCTTTTCAGCGCCATCCTTATCGTTCTTTGAGTCCTTTAGTTCGGTGTCCGGTTTGTCATTCACAGCAGCGGCTGCTTTCTTCTCCTCTTTTTCTTTTTCGCGATCTTTCCGGTTGCGCTCCCGTTCCTCTTTGCGTCGAGCCTGACGCTCCTTGTTTCTCTGTTTTTCCCGTTCCGATCGCGAGATTTCAGACTTTTCATTTTTCTCTTTATCCGCATTTTTATTTCGGTCACGATCTAATGGCCGCGATTTGATTGTACGCACAATAATGCCGTCATCGTTTTCCTATAAATTATTTAGAAGAATCCATTGGAAATGGTATTGCATTTCTATTCTGTTCAAATTGATCATAGTAAATGCAAACCTTGGCATCCTCATCAATGGTTTTGGGCATTGATTTTGCCAGTTGATTTTTCTTGCGTTGTTTTTCCTCTTCACGCTGCCGCTTCTTATCTTCAATCTTTCGTTTACGCTCATCTCGTCTCTCTTGTCGCACATTAGCCAAATACTCCAACAACGGAGTGGATGTAATCTTCTGGTCTGTATGGCAAACAATGTTATCCATTTGTGCTCATTTTTTGTGAAATTTTGTGAATTAAACCAAAAAAATGAAAAGATTAAAGAACACTCACCGTCTTTGAGTTGAAAGGAGTATTCCATTTTGAGTTCACTTTTACCCTCGGTTTCTTCATCCTTCAGCGATTCCAAGAATGCCAAAAAATGTGGTTCACTTTCGATGGTATTGGCTTTGTGGTCTTTTTTCCGCGATTTACCTTTGGGTAAACCTTGAAATGGTGCAAATTCAACGATGGCCGGATATTCCGAGCCCTTTTTATCCACAAACACATAGCCATCGAACTTGTCGCGGAAGATGAAGATGTCATTTTGATTGCAAAAATTGATGTACGCACGACATGTGGCATTCACACCGAGTGACCAATCCGCCGGCACAAAATAAAAGTAGTCATGGTCTGGTATTGGTTCGATTTGTTTGAGCAGTTCCTCTTCGGTCATTGTTGGCGGAAGGCGACGCACTACAACCTAAACCAAAGATTGCAAAGCAATTTGATTGGAAATTAATTATTTTGAAATCAAATCAGACGAAAAATGAAGAAATATTACCTTTGCTAGCGGTTTGACTTTATCTTTGCGACTTTTTCGATCTTTTGATTGTTTCGTTTCAGTTTCAACTGGTGTTTGAATCGTTTCCGACTCTTCTATTGGATTTTCCTCTAACGACATTTTCACTGCTAGCCAATTCCACTGATTTCGTAAATATGATGAATGATGATAAACAATGCAGAAGAAAAATAACAATAGCCAAATCAATGAGTTTGATTAACTTGTTTTTGTGAATGTGGCTTTTGATGAATCGAACTGTCAAAACCTTTATGTGTGTCATTTTTAGGTTAGGTTGCATCGGGCAAATGTCAAATACTTAGCCCAACTATTTTGAAAATCAATTTTATCAACTCGAAACAATTTTCATTTCAATTTTTTGTACATAATTTTTTTTTTATTCCTAATCAATTATTCAATTATTTTAAAACGATGACAGCGTCTTCTTTTGTGATTTTGGCGATGAAATTAGACCAAGCAATTTACAATCGGCTTCTAAAATGGTTAAATCCTTGTCTTCACCCAAAAATCGTGATGACAACTCAAGCTCTTTGATTTGGAGTTTCACTTTAGCGTTTCGCACGTATAATCTGTAATTATAAATTTGAAACATGTTTATTAGCGTGTGAATAGTAAGCAAATTGAGTCAAAGTATGAGCCTTAAAACTTACTCTCCATTCTTTCCTGGTCGAACGCACACACAATTGAACTTCCATCCGAAATCAATGTACAAATCATCGCCAACCGTATGCACAATCTTCCCTGACACAATTTTATTCAATGGGTCACCCAGCTGGAAAGAAAACGAAGCAAATAATTTAAATTAATTAATAAATACATTCTTTCAAAACATACTAGCAAGAGTGTCTTTCGTTCTGGTCGAGAAACTCATTTTGACTATCGGTATGACTTACATCGACGAGTTTTGATTGTCTCAGCAGCTTCTTAAATGGTACAGTATGGACGGGCGTTTCATCCTTCTTCTCATTGATTTGTTCAAATTCTTTGAATGCTTTCGCAAATGAGCCCAATTTATCGCTTAATTTTTCTTCACTTGAGCTATTGGTTACTGTTTCATTATCGGCTTTATCACTGAAGTGTTTGATTTGTACATAGACTGCTGCACGTGGATATTGTCGCAATGCAACACTCCCTGTTTGAACTGATTTTACTATTCGAGCCAACATTTTTTCAAACAATTTATTTATATTATTGAATTAACTTCCGCCTTAAAACTTCAATCCTTCTTAGCACATCGATTTGAGCGTAACCTCAAATCCAATTGTCAACACGACTCGCATTTTGACATGTCTCGCTGATGAGACGTCATATCGCCTTGTGCCATTTTCAATGTATGTGTAAGGTGTACATGTACTCGGTCCATTTCTAATCGGTTCTTCCGAGTGAAGACACTGAAAAATAGCATCGATCATTAGCCAGAACTTTATTCATTTGTGAAATTTTATTTTTCTCCTAAAATTGAGGCGAAAATGTCGGAAAAAAAGACAAAACAAAGTAATGGCTGAGGATAATTGGTGAATTTAATGACTTTTTTCGTCATTTCTGAGACAGAAAAATTGAACAAAACAATGTGAGCGATACGCCGCAAACCACGTGGACAACGTTTGCAATGTCGCATACATAAGGTAAATATTTCAATCACTTGATCGGTTGTGGTTTTTTTTTCAAATCCATTTTCTTTTGATTTTAATACGAATGCATTTACCTGGAGGGTATTTTCTTTTACGTTGCTAATATCCTAGTTACAATAAATGCGACATCAAACTGCATGGGAATTCAATGAATAGCTTGAGCTAAAACTGGTTCAATCGCATGCAATTTTCTTGCAACACATTTTTTTTGCTATCTCATCATTCGCATTGTTCAATATTGTGATAAATGATTAATAATTGGGTTTTTCCGTGCACTTTTTTCAGATTCATACCGCATCAATGGCATTCTGAAGTGACAAATTGATGAGCACATCGGGCTGCGTGTCGAGGTATACACATATTTGATCGGTTTTTTTTGAGGTTATTCCCAGGCAATTAATGTTTGACGAAAACATGACAATTTTTTTCTTAAATGTTTCAATGAATTGATTGCCAAGATCAACCACCACTAACTACAGTCATAGTGCCTGTTCGATGTTTTTTTATTCGTACTGGTCTCCAGATAGTCGGACAAATAAATCCAATGTTATTATTTTGAATATTTTTCACTCACTTTGTGCATTTAATTATAAATTTCTAAATGGTTTCGTTTGATTTTCTATTGCAGATGCCGTGCCAGAAGAAAGGAAACCAAGAGAGAAACTCGGCGAGTACCTGCTGAAAAACGAATGGCGACGGAGAAATACCAGCCCGCTTTGCTTATTCTAATCATTGAATGAACCGAGTCGAATGTTGAAACGAAAAGAATTTTTTTTTCTAATTTCGAACAATTGTCCAACTATTGGATTATCAATGTCAATGAGTTCAAAAGGATTTTATTAGAAATAAATGCAATTTTATAATTAAAGCCACTGGATTTTTTTCTTCTGATTTCGTATGATCTAGAATTTAGCAGGAAAATAGGTAGCATTTTGGATAAACAAGAAGAAAAGACCGATATTATTTTTTACTTTCGATTAGAAATTTTATTGTTTTCGAAACAATGTTTCGATTGTTGCAACACTTTTGATATGAAACAAACAAGTATAACAATTGATGAAAATCATCATGTAGATCATTCACCGTAAAACCCAAATGCGAAATTGACATACAGCTTAAAAGGTTGATACGGCTGGAACGTCTGGAACGATTGGTGCTGGTGGTGCGACTGGCAAGTGGTCACCAACTGGTTGGAAACCGTTTTCATCGGCAACCCAATTCACCATGTACAATTTGCCATCAGGACCGTAGTAAGCGTACGAGCCTTGTTGAACGAGAACATTTTCTAAACCGTTTGGAGTTTGGATTGGTTTCAATGCACCGCGTTGAGCGACAGCTTGACCTTCAGACGAATAGCTCAATCCAAATTGACCGAAGTCATCGCGGATTTCTGAACGTGTTATAACTGGACCTTGTGGGAAGGCAATAGCAACGCCCACGATAGCTACGAAGAGTGCGAATGTCTGTGAACAAATAAACAATATTGTTATTATTGTGGCGATATCATAGAAAATTAACGAACTTCTTTCTAACAAATTATTTTTGAAAAACTCGGCCAATTGCCCAAGGACTTTAAATAATTTTATGTGGAGTAAACAATGTTTCACAAATCACTTACGATTTTCATCATTTTGAAAATGTTTTTGTTTTGGTTGGTTTTCAACGGTGAATTAAATTGAGACGTCAATGTTTGGATGGAACAAACGAAACTGGTACTTTTACCAAAAGATATGGCCCTTTTTATACAAATTTTATTTTTGCTAAAACTATGATAAAACAATCGAAATGCACCATAACAAACTTGAAAACAATCACATTCCAGTTTTCGATCAACAGGTTTCAAGTTCGGCACACTTTTAATAATAGAAACTAGGTATTAAAAAAAGGTATAGGCAAAAATGCATAGCAACAATTAAATTATGTTGCACTTGACAAAATCGTATGCACAATTCAGTGCTACGTTTTTTTTAGAAATATTTGGAAATAGCCTCAAACTACGATGCATGATTCAGGTTTTCAATTTAAACTTGAATCATATATGAACCATTGCGACAAACAAATTCCCTTAGAATATTTATTTTTGCAACATAAAGTTTTTTTCATATGGAGTTGTTGTTGTAAACTCTATATAAAAAAAAATGTCATGTTGCACTTTGAAACTAAAATATTCTGAGGGAATTTGTTTGTCTCAACGGTTCATATATTCATAGATATGGTATAAACGTATAATCGAATTATTTTCATTGTTATTTCGCCCGAAATATTGCACATCTATGATAAGACATTATCTTTATTATCAAAGTCTTTCAAATTCATGAGAACAGTTCTATGGGTGAGATTGAGAGGAATTTATCTTTTTTTGACGACTTATATTTTGATGAAATAGAGTATGTTCCACTCGTGGTTTTTGGCATATTTTGATGACAAAAAATATCGAATTGGTATCTTTGCAAAATTTTTTGGTCTTGTCAAACTTTGCAGAAGACAATTATCGTATATCTGTTGAAATAAATAAATTTGTTGAAGATTTGCTCACCGCTTTGGAAAATACTCTTTTTTTTCTCGCAATCTCACCCATAGAACTTTATATGAGGAATAGATTCGACCGTATTTTTTTGCTCGCGTTTACAATATGGAGCCAATATTGAAATTTTTTTTTTAAATTATGGATTCATGAGCTTAAACAGCCGATTGGTTTTAAAAGTAAATGTAAGTACCTCAATTTCTTCTTCACATTCTTTGGTAGGAGTTTGATCATAAGATCCTAAGTGAAAAAGAGCAATAAACTCTTAATCGTACCATACGTTTTGAATCATTGTTAATGAGTCAAATAATTCCCGTTTGGGGGATTCTGTAAATTCGATACAAATTTTTGTTAATATCATTTTCAACGCAAAGAAAAATTGACGTCATACGAAAAGGTATAACTTAAAAGAGATATCTTTGGCGGAACAAAAACCAAAGCAATACAACATTGGAATAAAAGAAATAAAAGACCTGTCCAAATATTTGTATTTTTAATAAAAATCCGTATTTTTAGCGTTTTAATTTTGTTTTATTATTTGTTTAGAATTGAAATTCAAACTACGATGACTAGGTATAAGCTAGCTATAAGATCAAAATTCAAAATGAGGTTTATTGATTCCAGTTTCTCTCGTGGTACGTAACAAGTACCGAATAAACCACAGATAATTCATACAAGTATAATAACCATTGCTTCAGTAAGTAATTAAATTGTCTATGAGTTATGCCAACAATTATTGTCCATTGATTGCTTTGACTTAAATATCTATAATCAAAAACACATTTAACATTTGGGGTTTTAAATTTGTAAATGGAATGATTCATTCTTTTTTGGAGCCATTCGTGACCGTGCATCGTTGCGTTTATGGCAACGGAGATGTATGACTTGGGTGTGTTGGAAACGATTCGGAGCTGTATGGTGATGCAGATCTTGTGCTATTTTCCGAGGTGCCGGAATCCGATTTGTTCGAATCGCGCGGCTTATTCTGCCAATTGCGCAGATAATCCACAACCTCTTGATGGCCAAATGTTTCGGCTTCATCGATTGGCATATTGCCCCATCGGTCTTTTGGATCGAATGGAACGTTGCATTGTTCCAATAAAAATTGTACACATTCCAAGTGTCCTTCAGACGCCGCCAGATGTAATGCTGTACGTCCATCGTAATCAGAGAGCGTTATATCCATGCCAGACAGTTTGTGTCGACGCAACGCTGTTACATCACCGCTTGCCGCCGAGAACAGAAGATTCACAATCGAAAGACCCTTGGTCTCGTATCTATGACGACGCGGGTCTTTTTTATGGCTGGCATGTTTGAGATTATCATATGGATGGAAATTAAAACCGTTCACCAATTCCTAAAATTAAATTTAATCATTAGTATGCGTGCGCTCTCTATTTTATTGTCAATTGGCACCGTTTCAATTTAACAAATGACTTACTTCGCAAAATTGAACACCACGACAGCTATTCCTGTAATATAGAGTGAACACACGGTGATGTTAGTATATTGGTTTTGCATATATTGATATTCTATTGAATGAGTGTAAGCTAGGGGCTTCACGCCAAATTTTATTTAGCAAAATCTATTTGTATTATTTAAATCATGTAAAATTCACGCTGGATTTCAAATATTTTGTATTATTGCCCGAATGCGTTGTTATTGTTCATATTCATCTTGAACAATATGTTCTGAAAGTGAGTTTTGGTGGATCTTCAGGATGGATCAGACTGGGTTTGACAATGCCCTGGTCCATCCCGAAGATCGACTTCCAGAACCAGGATCGGTTTTGAACAATCCTGAGGACCCACCAAAACCCACTTCCAGAATTTTAGACAGAAATTTAGAAAAAAATTTAGAAATTTTTCACAGATTAGACGTGGTTCTGCTGACAATCGGTTTATCAAAATTGAAATTATGCATACATATCTGTTTAATATGTTGATACATAAACAAATTCATATTATTTGTTCATATTTTAAATATGGAAATTGGCGTGAGGCCCCTAGAGTGTAAGAAAGCAGAGATCAGAGCCTGTTTTGAGCTGACGTCAGCAGCACTAACTAACGTCTGGCAGAGATTCGCATCTTTTTTTTATTATTCAAAGATTAACGACTGAATGTCGTCGTACTGCTGATTTGTATACATGCAAGTTCATGAACAAACTACCAGTCGAACGATATTTTCTTCTCTTTCCACGTACGTGCTTCAGTGAATGGGGAATTTTACTTGTAAATAGTTGCGTTTTTCTCATCTTCTCTTTTACTCAAGATTCCCCTTCGCTGAAATGACATAAGTGTGCGTCAAGCGCGACATTCAGACGCTAATCGGTCACAATCAAATGATAGTGATTTATTTATTAAAACCGTGCTATGCACCGTTCTATCGCTTCCTCCCACTCTTCGTTAATTGATACATTATTTGTTCGTGTTTATTACCCCAATGGATCAAGCGGTGGTGACCATGTAAATATGCCCATTACATTCGGAATAACAACCAACATTCCACCACATACACCCGATTTCGCCGGGACACCCACTTTGAACGCAAATTGACCAGAATAATCGTACATGCCACATGAGTGCATCAAAGACAACACGTCACGAACAACGTCTGGGCGGAACACCTTCTCCTCGGAAAATGGACAGATTCCGCCGTTTGCCAGGGTTGCTGCGATTACTGACATTGTATCGCAGTTCGCTTCCATGGAGCAACATTGAAAATAAAAATCCATTGCCTAGAATTTTTGAAACGGTATAAAAGATCGACGGCGTGAGAGAGAGAGAGAGAAATGGATTAAGATAGTATTCTTAAAATAGGAATTTTTAAAGCAGCCAACAAGATTTTTTGAATGTCGCGGGAAACTTTAACATTGAGGGTTTATTCATTGAATAATATTCAACATTGTAGCTGATAATTTCAACATCAATTCATCGTACCTGGCGTAAATTACAGTTCTCTGGGAAGCATTTGTTCTCACGCATATAGAAGCCCAATGCATAATTTCGATCGGCTGCTTCACGTTCCGATAAGAATACAGCATTATTAAAACCAAAGTTTTCACCACCAGACATTTTCTGCAGATTCAAAGAGTTTTTTTTAATCAATAAATCCAAAGAAGTGAAGCATAGCGACAACGCGTAGGACTACGTTTAGAGTTAGAGGTGGCAAACGGACGGACAGAGGATGAACATTTCGTGTCCGTTCGTTTGTTCCTTTATTGATTTGGGGCAAACGAACATTTGTCCTAATGTCCCAATTCAAATAAGGACAAACGTACAAATTTTTAAAATGACTTATGTTGAATCCAAATGCTCATACTATAAATTTATATGACAGATAAAA